TTAAAATTATCTAATATAATACAAGTTTTATATACATGTTTTTAGATTTAAATCAAGACGTTCCAAATAACACTGTTTTTTGGGTAAAATTAATTAAAATTGTTTATAAAATTTAAAATGTAGTCTGTAGTTATTTTTCAAATACTGTTTATTATTATTATTATTATTTTATTAAACTCTTTCTACCATGTAGGATCTAAAATAATATTTTAGCAAACCAATAATGGGTTCGGCCAGGCCTACAACCTGGTGAAGGACGCCACTCGATATATCCAGACAGACAATTCTCCGAAAAATTTATGGGATTTTTCTACCCGTCTGGATTCGATCTCATGTCTCCCAGAGCGGTAGGCTCCCACCTTAACCGCTCGTCCTGTTTTTTAAAATTTATTTTGACATTGTATAGATTGTATAGAGACAATCTGCTCTTTTTTGCCCCTCTGAGCATCTTTGCAAAATATCTTCACAAATAAATGTTTCTCAAAGCTCTAAAGACACGTAATTATTTATAAAATATGAACAGACTCTAATAAATAATTTTTATAACACTCCGAAAAAGCAATAAAATAAAATTTTAACTTTGTATTAAACTTAATGTAGTTTTTCTGTAGGGGCGCGTCCATATACTCGGTATTGGTCAGAGTATTTACCGAAATTTTTATCACTTGGCAAGCACGCATGTACATACACATTCTTGCCGAGCATCGATTTGTTGCAGGAACGACGAACGTTTGTTCAATTTTGTTAGACAATTCTCAAACAATAATTTGTATCGCTGCTTTTGTAGTCTTGTGTAGTACATATCTGTGGCTTAAAAGATGGTGGATGGAATCACTTCATCAAAGCAGAAAAATGTGAACCTGAAAAAGAAAGAAATTTCAACAAAAAAGAAAATGAATCAAAACCGTATTGCAAAAAAGACCAGATGAAACTACATAGAAAAAAATCCAGCAAGAAGTTATGTAACTTTCTAGGTCAAACTTTAAAATTGTATGTGACGCACAGATATCTGTTATAAGATTCATTTTTAAAAACTTTTTCTGTTATTAATTGTTATAAAATGGCAAAAGGCTTAATTTTAGGGTAGAGGTAAGTTGTATATATAAAATTAGAAAAAAAAATGCAAATCCTAATAACTAGTAAAATCTTCATTAGGTCCGACCAGACTGGAGATTTAACAGGTGACCATCTTCTACCTTCCCATTTCCTCGAACTTTAACCAGCAAAAATTAATAGCACAAATCACCCTAATACACAAACCTCTCTGAAAAATTTCATAAATTTCCTACAAATGGCATAGAAGTTATTAAACTTCAAAGTGGGTGAACGAAATCGTGCCGCCCACAAACACGTACACTAATATCCGTACATATAAAAAAAATCCCAATTTTTTTTATCTCGATATTTCAAGGTGTCTCAAGTTCAAAAATATAAAACTTAATTATAAAACTATAAAAATTACATTTTTAGTTGTTTTGTTGTTGGCTGAAAATACATAATTATTCGTCTTGCTGTTTGTATTTTAACGATATTAGATTTTATTTGATTATATTAAAAATATGTCTATGACAATTGCAGAGTCTGACAGTAGTGTAAAAGAACGAAAAACTAAAAACAAAAGTAATAAATTACTCTTTTCGCTGTAGGCACCAAGAGGACCTATTTTAGGAGGCCCATTATGGGTCCGGCCAGGCCCAAAACGGGGCGATCGGGTGGTGAGGGACGGGGTCCGATATATCCAGACGGACCACCCCCCCGAAAATTTCCTGGTGATTTTTGATTCAGATTCGATCCCGAGTCACCCAAAACGGTACACTGCCACTTTGACCGCTCGGCCATCCGGCCATTTACTCTTGTAGGTTTCTAGCAGGGCCGGATTAACCCACTTTGGGGCCCTAGACATTTTCTTCTTCCGGGTCCCCTCCTGGCTCTTTCAATTAATAAATCTTGTTACTATTATTTCTATTAAATTGCATACGGACAGCTGCTTTATAAAAAATAAAAGCAAAATTATTTAACAATATTTCACAGGATTTAAGAATACATATACAGTAGTTAATATTATTTTTATCGTTGTAAAGAATATTCTAAATTATTGGGAGTTTTACTTTCAATAAGAAGAAACATAAGAATACGAGGGTTGTTCAAAAAGTTCCCGAACTTTATTTATTACAAAAAAAACAAAAAAAAACTATTTCACATACAATTTATTTGTCGGGGTCCCCTTCAAAGTAGTCTCCTCCGCAGCATATACACTTCCACTTTTTGAAACAGAAACGCTTTTTCCGTAATGCTCATAAGCTCCTCCGTCGTTTTTTTTTTTCTATCTCTGGAATGGTGGCAAATGTTTTTCCTTTGAGTGGGTTTTTTAGTTTGTTGGAGAACAGGAAAAAGTCGCATGAGTCCGGTCAAGTGAGTAGGGTGGGTGGGGAAGCACAGTGGTTTTGTTTTTGGCCAAAAACTCATGTGTTCTGAGGAACAAATGAGCCGGCGCGTTGTCGTGGTGAAAGAAGCACTCGCCGCTCCTTCAAAGTTCGGGCTGTTTTCGCCTGATTTTGTCTCTTAGGCGATTCATAACACCAGATAGTACTCGTGTTGACTGTCTGGCCTGTAGGTAGGTATTCGTGATGCACAACCCCCTTTGCATAGAAAAAAACAGTCAACATCACCTTAACATTTGAGCGAACTTGTCGAGCTTTTTGGGGCGGGGGCTGTTTCACCCACCCGTGGGAAGTTTCCGTAAAGGATTTTCCGAGTTTCACACAGAATTTCATAGAACAACGCTGCTCTTTCAAAGAGCTGATTTCCCTGGATCCGATTTTTCGCCGAACCCCACAAACACCATTTCACATAAACGGCCGAAACTAATCACCAAAACAAGATATCAACAAACGGGTTGAAGGAGATTACTCGGGAGGTTTCCGCGGACACAACGCCTCCAAGCGAATTAAAAAATAACCAACTGGAGGCGCGCTATTCAAAAAGTTCGGGAACTTTTTGAACAACCCACGTACATTTTCTTTAGATTTTAGAATACACAATAACCATATAAAAAGCAATATATTTTTGTTTATTTGTTTATTATATACTGTTGTCCAACAGAAAAGTAAACTAATTTACAAATCTTTTCAAAATAGACAGTTTGACCGGGCCCTAGACATTTGTCTCATTTGTCTATGCGATGATCCGGCCCTGGCTTCTGGGTATTAATTAAGACAGTCTTTTCTTCATACCAGTGCTCGGTGATGGCCGGATGACCAAGTGGTTAGCCTGTCGTTCTGGGGAATCCGGCATAAAATCCGGATGGGACAAAAAACCCCAGGAATTTTTCAGAGAATGGTCCGCAGGATATGTCGAGTCTTTTTTCTGACCATAATGGGCTTGCAATAGAAGGACCTCTTAGTGTCCACAAGGAGGAAAGACTTTAAAAAAAAAAAAAATTCGGTTCGGCCAGGCCCGTAATAAGGAACCGGGTGGTGAGAAATACAACTCAAAATATGCTGGATAGACTGTCCACAAAAACTTATTGATATTTGTCCCAGGTTGTGATCAGTAACGCATAATGTTGAGTAAAATATCTAACTGGCAAGAAGTCGGAGTACAGTATTTGTTCTGAATATTTCTAAACAGTGTCCTTAGTCAACAAGTCAGACAGGCCATATCTAAAATGGCGAGAGATAAAAATGATTATAAATTCATTGTGACTAATTTTATCGTCGTTATAAAAATACAAGCATATCTCACTAAAACACATTAGCATTAACGACTGTTATCTTTAGCGGTGGTTACGCTATGGGAAGATATTAAGTTCCAAAACGTCGAAAGCTCAAAGAAACTATACAACTGTGCGATCTTGGTTACCATATTTCAGGAAAGATATTCCAGGACATTAGAATTATGCTTTTATCATTTGATCTATTAATTGTTGCAATTACGTAACTAACAATTTTAAATGGATCCGACATTTCATTGAAACTTAATGGCAATAGCACATTTATAATTATCATTTCAGTTTTTGTGCGAGCGGCTGAAAATTTTGATTCGAATAGCTTTTTAATTAACTTAGATATGGTCTGATGTCTGGAAACTGATTTAATGATATTTCAGAATGCTAAACAAATATTTGGCTCCTTTATCACGAAAAATTCATTTTTTCGAGTTATTCTCACCACTAATCCTTAAAATTGAGTTTTTGTACTGTACTTTGTACATTTATACGAAAATAATTTTCCAAAACCTCTTTTCATACAGCAGCAATGTATAGTACATTACTTGAGGTGTTATTTTATTAGAATAATTTGCAAACCACACAATAAATATTACATAAAACTATTTTAACATTAAACAACATAGAGTCACATTGGTGCACCGATAACCTTGTTGCTTATTTATAATCTACTCGAATAACTTCCTAGGAATTTTTCATGGGCGACTCGTCTCTGATACATCGGACCCCATCCCTCGCTACCCGGCCGCTCTATTACGGACCTGACCGAACTCAGGATAAGTTTGAATGAAAGGTCCTCTTAGTGCCCACAGAGCGGAAATCACATAGGGTATCTGGATTCTAGAATGAATTCTTCTAAAATTCCCTTTCGAAAGATGAGAAATCCAATTTTCACCAGTTACTCCGTCATCTATGTATGGTTTCGTTATTCCAATAGTACCTTTTTGTATTTTGTAGAGAATAAATTACCAAAAGTTAACGGCTATTCATAATGAGCTGGACAGATCTGTAGAAGAATCACCAGAATAAATGTGGTTTGGAGACAGTCCAAACATATGTTCAATTGGATAATCAAAATGAAATGGGAATCGACTTCAAAGATGGCATTTATCTACAGGTAGGTCGTTGGACGGAAAAGTATTGAATCGTAAATAATATCATCAGACTTCACTCAAGAAATATTTTATAAATTTTTAAGGTTATATTAGTAAAATTAATTAGCTATTTTTAATTGATATTTTTTAGTATACAATTATTGAATTTAAATATATAGGATTTTGGGCGCTTAGGAAATGACGTAGTGCCGCGAAAAATGCTTTCGTAGTCATTTTCATTTCTTTATTTGAAGTCATAAGGCGTGCACATCGTTTCGTGTCCATTTGAGACTTAAAAGTAATTATTTCTAATTTTATATGTTAATATGTTGCGTGAACTAACTTTACAGACTATTCTTAATTTATTATTATAAGTATTTTTTAAATTCCGTGGTAATATTATATGTTTTCAATAGTGCATGTTGTAAGGCTTAGCTACGAACACGTGGCTCATTGTTCTTATTGTTCGTTATTTTATTTTTTTTTTTTTATATGAACTTTTTGCAGAATACAGTTACATATATTTGTGAAAATTAAATTCGTAAAATTCTAAATATAAATTTTGAATTATTTAATTTTAGATGCGTTACGTGGCCGCTTATCTTTTAGCCGTTTTGGGTGGTAACAAGAATCCATCTGCTAAGGATGTGGAAAAAATCTTGAGTAGCGTTGGAATTGAAAGTGATTCTGAGAGATTAAGTAAAGTAATTAATGAGTTAAATGGAAAAGATGTACAGGAGGTGATTGAAAATGGTAAAATTGAATTATAACAAATTATGTATGATATAATTTAAATTTAGGTATAAAAGTGAATATTAACTGATGGTAACTTTCAGATTAATAGCATAACTTGTTCGTATAAAGCTGGACAATCGGGAAACTTTTTTGCCAATTTTTAAGTCGAATCCCCTTTTTCAGTTGGTTATATTTATGAGTTGCTCCGAATTCAGATTTCTGAATAATCGTCTGTTTTTCATGTGGAAATAGACAAAAACTTATACTGGGCTCCCGTATGGCTTTTTGTTTATAGATCAAAGTATACCTAGGTAACCCCAATGGTGGCGCTTCCATATTTGAACTTGGGACAGACGAGTTCAGTGGTACCCTACTTTTGGACCGGAGACCAAAATAAGAAAGTTATTATTTCCTGGAGGGATAGGTTAGGTTTGTTGGACAATCCACAAAAGTGGTGCATAGTACTAGCCGACTGTGAGCGATAGCGAGCGTGTCGGTGGCTGAGGGGCCATAGGCCCCAACGTTGAGGAGCCTGGGGACATGCGAACGATTTAACTCCAACTGCAGACAATCAGTGTGTTTGTGGATCAACATCTGTCTCTGCTGAAGGTATATATGGCTGACTTGCTGGACTGCCTGTTAAATATGCAATAGGCTTAATGGAGAGAGTGACGTGACTCCTGATCATTGTGTGATCACCGGAAAAAAGTATGATAACTTTCTTATTTTTGGTCTCCGGTCCAAAAGTAGGGTACTGTTGAACTCATCTCAGTCCTGAGTTCAAATATCTAACCTAACCTAACCAAAGTGCCACCATTGGAGTTACCTAGGTATACTTTAGCCAAATTTTTTGGCTAAAGTATACCTAGAGTATACTTTAGCCAAAAAATTTGGCTAAAGTATACCTAAAAAGTATAAAGTATAAATTTGGCTAAAGTATACCTATAAAGTATAAGTAAAAAAATTGTAAAGCCACTTATACAATTTAGGGGTATGGCTATTTGAGAGGTTTACTTCCATAAAATTAACTAAATCTAGACTAATTTCACTCGAATATTTCCAAAACACATATAATTTGTTGAAATGATCGATATAAATTATCCTATAAACAAAAAATTGTCGGATTACTTACAGAGTGTACCCGTTCGAAGACGCCATTGCTTAAGCTTTGTGCCGCTCCGCGACGAAAACTTCTTCGTCCGCGTCTGCTTCCAATGTGTCACGTGACATGTGCCGGGACTATTCGGTCACGTGATTACTCACTCATCTCGGCCACGCCTCGCATCTCTGACGTGTTTCCTGATAACTTCAGCTAATTCTTCCGCGAGAAGATTAAGTTTGGAGACATCACGTGATAGATCAGCGACGTCATATTCCTATCACATGATTTAACTGAGCCTTTGAAGAAGTCCCCGGACTACACGTCAGAGATGCGAGGCGTGGCCGAGATGAGTGAGTAATCACGTGACCGAATAGTCCCGGCACATGTCACGTGACACATTGGAAGCGGACGAAGAAGTTTTTGTCGCGGAGCGGCACAAAGCTTAAGCAATGGCGTCTTCGAACGGGTACACTCGGTAAGTAATCCGACAATTTTTTGTTTTTAGCATATTTTATATCGATCATTTCAACAAATTATGCATGTTTTGGAAATAATCGAGTGAAATTAGTCTAGATTTAGTTAATTTTATGGAAGTAAACCTCAAATAGCCGTACCCCCTAAACTATACAAGTGCCAATTTTTTTAATGTGTTGCCTTAAAATATTGTTTTCTCTGACCAATTGTTTTTGTTAAGATGAGAGAAGTTAAATACTATGATTTTCAATTGAACAGGAACTGGTTGAGAAAAATACTACAGAAATGGTTAGGATTATAATGACTCATTGGTATAAAAAACTTGAAAGCAAATGATATGATATATTTGAAATATATTTTTATAACTTCTTATTAATATTAATATGATTCAACAGCATATCAAGAATGGACAAGGAGAACTAGACTAGTTTGTTCTTGAAGACTTAACCACTATCCTTGATGTATCATCAATATTATTTTTTTTTAATGTGTTTGTGTTTGAAACTTTTCAGTTGAAGAATTTGTTTTTTCTACACGTTTTTTTTTTTTTTTTTTCCTTTTACATTGAATTTCTCTTTCACAAGCCCCTCCATAGCCCTAAATAGGGTAAGTTAAACAGTTGAGTAGATTTATAAAAATCAATATCACAGGGCACAATTTTCTTAATAAAGTAAACTAACTCTCTGTGAATTTCATTTGTACATTCCATTCAGTGCACATACATTGAGCATGTGCACTGAATGGAATGTTTATGACCAACTTGTTAGTGACCAATGCATTTAACTTGTTTGACTTTATGAATTTATTCATAGTTAACTCATTGACAGGACAAGCATGCAGGAAAGTGTTCTTGTCGTGCTATTTTAGAAGTGTTTTTTTTTTTTATTTTATGATTATAGTAGAATCTCAATGGATTTTTTATTTCTCAAGTCCTGCCAAATCAATTAAATTTTGCTTCCTTTTAGTGGATTCATAACTTAGGATAACTGAATTTTTTCTAGGCCTTATGTGTAGGGAATTAAATACTTTCTTGAGTGCAGGAAATTTATTGTTTATGATATAACAGATAATCTTGGATGATTTTTGGCAGCACAAACAATCTGTTAAAATGAGATTCTATTGTAATTACCTGATAGTTAAGTATGTCTCATTAATTATTGTTTTAAAATTACTCTTTACTTGTTTAATTTTTACAATTGGAAATGTCATGTATCTGACGTAAGATTTCCACCCCCATTTCACAGTATAACCCAGATACATAAAATAAAAATAGAAGTGTAAAAAAGCTAGTAAAAAACATTTTTAAAAAATTGATAAGATAACAATAGGACAAAAGTATAGAACATTAAGAATTATAAGTATTCATTTACAGATAGTTTTCATATTACAAGAGATGTAATAAAAGTATGAGAGGTACAGTACTTAGTCCATAAAAGTCAGTAAAAACACATGATATATAATGTAAGTTCCATTGAGGAATTCTTAAATGTAGTCAATTTGACTGTACATTTTCATTAAAGTATTTATGATAGTGCAATCAGTTGAAATAATGTGTTTAATTTTTTCATTAGAAATAATTGAAGTGAAGTTAATAATATAGAAACAATAAATATAAATATTTGTTTAATTTTTGACTATATAAATATTTTATGAAATGCAGGAAAGGCAAAACTTGCATCAGTTCCTTCTGGAGGTGCAGTAGCTGTTGCTGCTGGAGCTGGTGGTGATGCTGCTGAACCAGCAAAAGGTTTGTATTAAATGTATCTTTTTAAATATTATCAAGTGTTTTATAGCCTGCCTAGTAATAAAATTACAAATTTTATATATTTAAATGTAGACAATATACTGTAAAAATAAACATAACTGAAATTTGATGCATAGCAAATAGACACCTGCAATTGCTCTAAATGATCTGGCTATATTTTTGTAATAATAATTATAAGTTACAAATAAATTTGGCACTAGAGATGATGCCTAATGCCTCCCTCTAGTGCCAAATTTATTTGTAACTCATAATTATTTCCAAAATATAGTCCAATTATTTTTTCAACTTATAGGCCAAGGTTTTAAACTTTCATAAATCATGTGATGATGCAAGTTTTGATAATGATTTCCTATAATGCATAAACCCCTGCGTTGTACAGGACTGCTGTATAGCAATAGGATTATTCCTTGTAGAACAATAAAATTTAAAGGAGCCTTTAGTACCTTGTAGGACTTCCTTTTGCCTAGTAGTCGTCCAGTCACTTTAGACAAAACAAGGTCCTTTCTGCAGAAAAATTTTATGCAAAGTATTTGTATATTGCTTTATTTAGTCATACTAAATAAAATGTAACAAGTTTCCAGTAGTCTGCTGTACACTTAATGTTTTATAGTGCTAAAAAGTTGCTTACAAGGAGTTTAAAATTGAGTTTTTGTAAATATCTATGATACTATTGAGTTTATGGTAATGAAGATGCTATACAAACTTGAAGATGAGAAAATTCTCTAAAGTTGTCCATATCAATTTTTTGATACAAGCAATAGTTTCTGCGGAAATTCAGCACAAATTTTTTTTTCCTGACCCCAATTTTTCTAGGTTCAGTATCCACATTGAGATTTGAAAGATGAAAAGAACAATTCCTGGTTAGTAAGAATGCAAGAAATCTATATCCCATCTGTTTCACTCTGGTAGCTCTCAAGTTCACAATTTGACAGGCCCATTCATTGCTGTAAAATCAATAGCGACAGAGATATTTACTAAAACCATTTTTAAACCCCTTGTAAGCACCTTTTTAACACTATAAAACAGAATGCTGGGTACTTTTGACATTTTATTTAGTATGTCTAAATAAAGCAATGTAAAAGTTACTTCTCACCTGGTACTGGTCCAATTTACTTAATATAAATTTAAATTTTTTATTTAAATTATATTTAAGTAAGATATTTTAAATATTTAAAGATATTTTATATTAAATAAAGCAATATACAAAAATTTAGCTTGCTTAAAATTTTTCTACAGAAAAAAAAAATAAAGTGACTGGACTATAGATACATGTGGCAATATGGTTAGGCAAGATTCATACTGCAAGCTTTTTTATAGAATAAAAGGAATTAGGATTTTATTGTTCAAGTGTACAATTTTTCAGTTTTAGAAAATTCCATCAACTGATAAAAGTAGTAAGATATTTTAAAACAAGAATTTCTTTATGCTTATAACTGATTTGATTCTATAAATGTTCTCACCTTTATATAATGGTTAAAAAGTCAATGATATTTATTGCCTGCAGATTAAATTGACATTCTCAAAATGTTAGTAACAGATTCATCATTAATTTAGTAGATATTTATGAATTTATATTTTCTAGAAACTTATACCGAAAGAACATCTTGGACACATGTCCAAAAAAATATTCTTTAGGATATGCAAATTGTTAATATAATTTGTTTCAAATATATGAATTTAAAAAATTAAATTTTTTTTTGTTATTTATAGAAGAAGCAAAGAAAGAGGAAAAGAAGGAAGAATCTGAAGAATCAGATGAAGATATGGGATTTGGTCTTTTCGATTAAGTGCCTTTGTAAAACAATTTTTTATATGTTGTTTTAATTGCCAATAAACAATGGCATAATGAAAAATGTTCTGTTAGACTTTTTATATTAAAAAGATTGCTAATATGCTCTAGATGCTAAATTTAAATCAAAATTTGGTTAAATTTAAAAATGTAATTAACATAAAGCGTTAAAATATGTTAAATCTTATCTATTTCTCTTAAACTCGTTTCAAAAACTTCAGTTTAAAAATATTTTGCATATTGAGCGAGATCAAGTGATAGCACATCATAGACGGCAAATATGTACAAAAATATCGCAGAGTCGTCGAATCGGAATGGTGATAATTTGAATTCAGGTTAACGTTGCACCAGATACAGCAATTCATTTGCGCTTAAATATTGCGTGGCTGACAATCTAAAAGACTAAATTTTCGGGTATTTCTATCGCGTGTTGACTACTAACATTTAGCTTGAATAGTTTCTACAGCATGATTGTTACCACGTTTTGTAGCACTGATTATCAAGTTTTTAGTAGGCCTATATTCACAAATTTAGTTTGAATTGTCTGCATAAGTTTTTGCGAACGACGACGAAAACCGACGTATTAATGTATTTGTTTCATATTGCGTCATACAAATAAGCGTTTGCTTTGGCTCTTTAAATGCTGACAGAAAATTCAAATTAGTTTTCGCTTAGGGCTCCAGATATCACCTGACGATGTAAGCTGAGTGAAAATCCGGAATGAATAGAGGTTGCGGCTGACGTTTTCATCTTTAAAACAACGTGAATGTTCAACGTTCACGTTTTAGAGATGAAAACGTCGGCTGAAACCCCTCTAATAGTAAATCGTGTTCGCTTCGTGATCAGTTAAGCAAGAATTCAAATATAGATTACTCAGATCAGCAACTGTTATAGCGTGCGAATGTTTATCATTACAAATTTGTGCTTAAAACTGCGTCAAATGCATTAAAATCAAAGAATTTACGAATAGAACAAGCATGACCTTGCCTCGATTTCTGAGTTAACTTATAAACTGAAAATTTCCGCAAAACTTTTTACGGGAAAAATTTGTTTTGGGTCATGCGAAAATATTTATCGTCTCAAAATGTCCAAAGGAGTTCTTTTTTGACCATTATAAAGTTTTCTTTTTGTTTTAAGTTATGGCAACTCAACACTTGGGCGATCTGTCTAGGAGGATGCCTTCCGGGAGGTCTTTTTAAGGGTAACTGACCCCTTAAAAAGGGATTCAAGCGTTACAGACGGAGAAAACCCTTCCACGTGGCCAGGCGCGAACCCACGACCGAATTCCCAGTGTTTAGGGAATGTGATCGCTTGGCCACTGGTGGGCCCCATTATAAAGTCTTAACGGTGTGAGTGCCAGGACGTCGCCCATACACTACATATCGGAGCGCACAGAGGGTTTTTTTAGCTTCACCCTATTGCGAGTTCGGCCAGGCCCACAATAGGGCGGCCGGGTGTGAGGGACGGGGCCGACATATCTGGTCGGGCCACCCCGAAAAATTCCTGGAAATTTTTCGTCCCGTCCGCATTTGATCCCGGGTCCCAAAAGCGGTAGGCTGTCATTTTGACCGCTCGGCCAAGGCGGTCGAGGGGTAGGGAGATAATGGGGGTCCGGAGCACGTGAATTGAATCCAAACAGTACGAGAATCAAACTCGTATGTATTCATAAATGATTTCTCCATAAGGATATCCATACTGGGTATTATTAACATTTGAAGACAGTTTTTCAATTTTGAAATGAAAAAGATGTACGGATTGACAACACGTGCGCGAATTACTCTGTTTTGCATTTCAGATGATCAATACTCAAAAACTCCATTTTCTTGTTTTAGCTACGGCAACGCAAAACTTAGGCAACTGCCTAGCGGGATGCCTTTCGGGAGATCCTTTAGTGGCGACCTATGGCCACTTATATATCTACTAGGAAGGCCGGATGACCGGGCGGTCAAGGTGGCAGACTACCGCTCTGGGGGATCCGGGCTTGAATCCGAACGGGTCGCAAAATCCCCAGGAATTTTTCGGGGGTGGCCAATTCGGATATGTCGGGTCCCGTCCCTCACCACCCGGCAGCCCCATTGTGGTCCTGGCCGAATCCATAATGGGCCTGCAAATAGAGGCCCTCTTAGTGCCCACAGGGCGGAAAGAGTAATAAAAAATAAGCCAACAGCTGTTTTTTTTAATTGGAGAATTTTCAAAACATTATTTTAAAATCTCAAACAATAAACTTTATAACGACAAAAATACACGAATTTTACAAATTATGCTTTACAAATTTATATTTATTAATGGATCTTTAATATTTTTCGGGCGGATGGCCGAGTGGTCACGGTGTCAGCCTACCACTTTGGGGACTTGGGGATCAAATCCGGGTGGGTCGAAAAATCCCTAGGAATTTTTCGGGGTGGTCTGTCCGTCCACCCCGCCGCCCCATTGTGGACCTGGCCGAATCAATAATGGGCTTGCTAAAAGAGGCCTTCTTAGTGCCCACAGGGCGGAAAGAGAAACAAAAATAAATAAATAAAAAGACAAGTTTTTTCAACTGGATAAAGAAGAGTCGTGCTTTTAATTAAATAATCATCTATTTCCATCATGTGGGTACTTAGAAAGGCTTTTTCTAGGCGGACTTTGGATTCAGCGAGGCTCACAATGAATGGGACAGGCCGTCCATGAAAAATTCATGAAGGCTATACTCGGATTCGACGACTTTATCTCCTCGGCCATCCAGCAGACGGAAAATTCATTACCCCAGGGAGTATCTAGGTGTAGGTAAGTAGAGATTATGGTGATGCAGCACTCCTTTGATACCAAAGCAGTCAGTTTTGTTACTTAAAAATAAATATAATAACGCACATCGCACGACTTTAATTAGGTAATATATAACTAAAGTGATTTTAAGGTAATTGAGTTAACATTCTCTGAAATTATTAAATTTGAAACCGTGTCTTCTTATGTACTTTGTTTCTTCAGCACGTATATTATACAAATTAATTGATATATTTGAAAAGAAAAAAGTTGACTGAAGAGGGGTACCAGAAACCCAAAATGCGTATCGATCAATGACTAAATAAAGAATATAAAAAACTTATGCTTAATGTTTATGTTTAATCAATTGCATATTTATCGTGCTGAAGAAACAAAATTTTGTGAAATGTTAAAGGGCACGTGGATTGATCCCCGTAAGTCTGTCTTGAGTAGCATCCATATTCTCAAAATCCTGGATATGCCACCAAGATCAGGGAATTTGGCTGAGAACAAATTAAATAATAGTTCCAACTTTGATAGGAAAATAGATCCACTCAACAGAACTCATACAAGAGAATCGAAGAAAATTTTTCGACATCTGAAAGACGAACTTCTCTAAATATTTCCTTAACTTTAAAGAAATCATTGGGAGAAATTGAGTTAAATGTTTCATAGTGATTATTTTTCGATCCATTCGAGAAACCTTTTTGAGCACATCTGATATTACTATATATATATATGTCAAAATAAATATAACACTAGTTATATTTATTTTGACATACAGTAATACCTCGACTTACGCGAACCCGGTGTTACGCGATTTTCAAATTTCGCCGATTCGTCTTTTGTTTGAGCGCCACGCAACCCTTGATTTTTCCATTCCCCCACACTATTGTTCAGCTTACATGTTCGGAAGTGTCGCGAGGAATCGACACATAGCTACAATTTATTTTGTGTTATTTATTTCTGTGTTTATTATATCTACGGAGACTTGAGAAACTCTATGTGATGATTTCTTGTAACCGTGAACGAATCAAAAGACGAGATAAGATTAACGAGAACATTTATTAGCTTACATACATCCGACTTAGATTTTACACAATTGCGAAATTATACTCCGACTTACGCGGTTATCGCTCGGTCCCACCTATCGCGTAAGTTCGGGGTATTACTGTATAAATATGCAAAGATCAAATTAATTCCTCCCGTAACGTATATAGTAGGATACTATAGTTTATCATGTAAATTCTTTGTTAACAAAACAAAACTTAAAATTATCTTTAGCTTAGTAAACATCCTTATTATTGAAATACTTTCATTGAATTTTTTTCTGTCATTGTACTGTATACAAGTTCGAATTAAAAAAATAGAGTAAATATTTTTATCATTAAACTATTTTGTTATATAGTATTAATATTACGGAAAATATTCTGTAATATCAAATATTAAAATTATCGTTTTTAATAGTAAAACTCAATACAAAGTAAAAATTACGTCACCATAATATATAATTATTACCGTCAGAGGGTGGGGACTATCCTGGATATACGTAATTGTTACGTAGGGTTTGTAAAATAGATTAGCTGCATTAAAAGGTAAGTCTTTCTTTATATTTTGAAATCTTAATAATCAATTCGGTCATAAACTTAATTAGTAAATTTGATAATTTATAATAATTAATCGTGCATTCATTAACGAATGTGTTGAATTCTTACAAGATGTCCGGAGATCAGAAGACCGTGATTAAAGGAGCACCTAGTCAATATGTCAAACTCAATGTCGGAGGTTCTCTTCATTATACCACTATTGGTACTTTGACCAAACACGACAGCATGTTAAGAGCCATGTTCAGTGGAAGATTAGAAGTATTGACTGATTCCGAAGGTAGTGTTTTTCTATTGTTACTTTATACACTTTCACTTCAGTTTAAACAGGTGAAATATTTTAAACAGTTGACATCACAATAATAAAAGTCTAGATTTATTATTACACAAATCTTGTTTTAAAATATTTTTTTCTGATATTAAAGATCAATATCAGAAGAAAATATTATGTTTACTTACATTTGCAAATTGTAATATTTGCTTGTTTGTAGTGTTTACAGGTGTATTTTCGTTTTTTATCCGTTTGTTTGTTTATTTTTATTAATCTAGTAACAAATTCAATTTGTTGTATCGATATAATCTAACAAAAGAATCCGTGTGGAGTAGTTATGTTCTTATAATCTTTAATAAAACAAGCTTTGGTTTATGTAATAGGATTATTTATTTCTGCCATTTTATGGGATACGAGATATGAATAAATGATTATTAAAAACATATTTTAATGGAAAAAAAATTATACAAAATTGCTGCTAGAACAATTGCAATTTTCTATGAAGTGAAATTTGGCTTTTGAAGAATTTGTCAAGACCCGGAGACTTTCTGATGGGGATGTATTCTAGTTGTTGTCTCTTTCTTTGAGCTTCTTTTGTGTCTATGTCACAAGCTGGTTTCTGATTAGTTAAACATTTGTTTATGTCTTCAGAGATTGTTGCTTCTTCCCAAATGTGATTCTGGATGACTTATTCTCAAATATGGCCTTCCAGAGACTAGCAGATAGTTGTCTTTTGACATGTTTTGTGTTTTACAAATATATTGGAGAACATACTCCATCTTGGAAAAAAGTATTTTGAAATAGAGATAATACTTTTGATCATCATCTGTTTTTCTTTTTAAAGTGGTCACTTTATTTTAAATTTGTTTTGTGATTTACATCACTTAATAAACCATTCATTGGATGTGTTGTTAACCCTACTTATCAAGCCATTCATCTCAAATTATTTTCAAAATATTGCCATCTAATTTTTTTAAAATTAAATACAGACTTTTCTAACTCTGTTGTTAAAGTTTCCATTTAGTGAAAAGAGTTACTTTAAAGTTTTTACAGACTCTAATGTCAAAATGTCTATAGAACAAAAACATGTCTGTCAAAACCATATGTTTTGTTAGAATCTCATGTGCTCTATAAATTTGCACTATACATTTTTGAAAATTGTAAAATTTTATTTGTTGAAGTTCTGTATTGTTATGCACACATAATCTGAACATGTATAATCAACATAGAATTGTGATGTCAACAGCAAAGATGAGATCATTAAAAGTGACCAGATTCACTTTTGCCTCTGAAAGAAATGTGATATAAGTGACCAGAATAAGGTCCTTTTGTGTGTTTAAGAAAATATTCACTATGTTTCCAAAAGTTATTGTTATATATATAATTTGTTTCTGGTAGTCTGCTAATGCATTATCTACTGTCTACAAACTTACATTTGCAATATCAAGTTTATATTTCTGAAGACCATTCAGATCAATCTGTGGTTCTAAATATTTTGTTGAGTTAGTGGCCTGTAAATAATTTTTGATGAACACACACAAATCAGTGTTGCATCAAAATCCCCTTATATGTTACATAGAAATTATAAAGCTGCAGATTAGTGTATGGTAAAGTTATTATTTAATCCAAATTTATGTAATGTAATGGACTTCAAGTTTTCAAAATGACTGAAATAATTTTATTTATTACAATTAGTGTAATAAATTAGATATTCTTTATTTTTATGTGTACTTTGTAGTTCTGAATTGTCTTTTTTAAAATAAAGAAAACAGAGAAAATTTGGGTTAATTTTCTTCATTGCATACAAACCTAAAATTTTTGAAATGCTATCATAATAGTAGCATAATAAGGATATTGCTTAAGACTGTTGTTTAGTTTAATAATCAACAATCAGTATGCACATGTTAATATAATGTACTTATTAATTATTCAAATAGTTTCAATTTTTGAGTTAACCCTCCTTTGGATACATCTGGATTCATATGTCTACATTTTCAGAAAATAGAATTGTTATGTAACAAACAAAAATACAAGAAAAAATTTTCTGTCATATTTTCTGCAAGTGGAAACTATACTTAGCAGAAAATATAAAATTTTATAATACCTCTCAGTATATTTTCTTTTTAGTTGTCTCTTTATATGTTATATATATACAGTAGAAGTAGAAATACAAATTTGTAAAATTTATATATGAAGCATGCAATGCCATAAGGTTGTAAATGCCAAAAAGGAAACTTTTCAGGAGAGATAAAAAAACGTTTTTTCTAATGAATGAATTCAGTTCAATTTTACAATAAAATGGTAAAAAACTCATTGGATTACAAACTCTCTGGAATATCAAAATGATGTAAATATAAGCTGCAATGTTTTACATGTCAAAAGTCATGTGACTTGCACCCTGGCACTTTAAATGTTATATTTTCACATAAATTCATCTTTAAAATACAATCACTTGCACTGCCAATATTGCCACAATATTTTTTTTGTGGCAGAAAACATTGCATTTAGAATTCAATTCTTCAATAAAACGTATTTAGAAAAAAAATAGCATTATAATGTTATGGCATTGCACGCTTCATATATAATTAACATTTTTCTTTTGTTTTTAGTTATTTCTTACTGTTTAATGTTAAATGTAGTTTGACGTTGTATGGTAAGTGATATTCTAGTTATATTTGAAAGATTGTTCCATAATTGAAAGACTAGGGACTGTATTCTGGTCCTCATCTCTCACAAGTTGGTCACTGATTGGCTAATTATTTGTTTGTCTTGAGAGATCTTCAAATTTCTCCAAACGCAATTCTCACAACTTTTTCTCTCAAAGATTCTCTCATTTCTCGGAGATGAGCAGATAGTTGCCTTTCAACCTGTCTTTCGTCTTTTGCCTTGATTTTGTTATATTCAATATGATAACTGGATGCTACTCACACTGTACAATCATATTAGAGAATGTTCTCTATCTCCAGAAAGAATATTTTGAGAGAGAAAATGCTTCTGATTTTTTCCAGTGCTTACTCAGAAATGCCACTGATTCCATTTTTTTTTTTTTTTAATTATCCTACATCAATTACTGAACTATTGAATATGATGTTAATCTTACTTAGATAGTTAAAGAGAAATTAGATGGTAATATTTCAAAAAATATCTAAGTACACGCACTTTTCTAACTTAGGTTATTAAAATTTTTATTTATTAAGAGACAAATTGACATTACAATCTGTAAAAATGATATAAAACAATAAACAACTTTGTCAAAATTAATAATCTTTCTAAAAAACCTATAACCGGGGTGAAATATGTTCAATTGCTTACACTAACGTTTTCAGATCCCACTGGGTCCTTCATCAGGCTATGTTCTATTTGCAACGATCTCTTAGAATGTCAGTTGTCTTTGGAACGAAATTTCAAATATCGTATTTCAAGTTCCATTGGGAATCACGTGTCTTTGAAACTCCAGTCGCTATGTAATGATCGTCTACTTGTATGATGGATTATGTAATTTTTATGAATAAATCTGTTTGAGCATTTCAGAAGTTGGAGAAAATGCATGTTGTTATTCCTTAATTTATCAAAATTTGTCAAAATTTTTCAAATTTGACAAATTTGTCAAATTTTCGTAATTTGTCAAAATTATAGATCACATAGCAAGGAAAGCATGCTTTCCTTGCTGTGTGATCTATAATTACGTAGTCTGCAATTTTGGAAATTTTACAATTTTATTGGTTAAAATTCTATACCATGTTGTGGGTGCAGATAACCTGAACATGTATAATCAACCTAGTAGAATTATGACATCGTCAACGAAGATGAGATCATTAAAAGTGACCAGAATCACCATTGTCTCTGAGAGACAAAATTCATCTCTCATTTTGACATCATTCATCTTTGAAAAAAAAGAGATGAGAGATAAGTGACCCAAATACGGTCCCTGATGGCCTTTTGAAAAGGGCGAAAAATGTTATCTAGAGTTTAAAGTGTTCGTTAGAATTATTAAATTTGCTTATTTATGTAAGGTTATCAGATGTGTTCATCAATGTTAATCAGTTTATTCAGTAAACCTTGTAATTAACCCTTCTTTGTCCTTATATATGATTCAAGAATCAAATATGTAGCAATATAGTCGACCCCCCCCTTACAACACAAGTTCATATAGTTCAGATTCCTATATGACGGCGAAAAAATTGCGACAGTATTCATACAAACACGCTAAAAAAACTCACAATTCAGTAAAACGTCATTGCCAACTCGTGTTGTGACAGAATTGGTCAAATCTAGACCAATAGCGGATATTGTACAAACCGTTGAGTTTAAACAAGCAGCGGACCTACCAAAAACCATTTATTATTTAACGTCTCCAATAATGTCAAATAATGTCTCCAAAGTTCAGTGAATTTTTCGCAAAAAAAAAATAATTTATCAGGAAGCATGCGAGCGTCATTTGATGACAAGCTCCACGACGAAAACAAGCTTAAGCAATGGCGTCGTTGAACGGTGCACACTCTAAGTAATTCTACAATTTATTGTTTATAGCATAGTTTATATGGATTATTCCCAAAAAATTATATGTATTTTGGAAATGTTGAGTCAAATTAGTCTAGAATTGATTAATTTTATGGAAGAAAACCTTTCAAACAGCCGTAGTCTATAAACTGCATACGTGCTGGACTGTGATTGGCTCATATATTCAAGGACTCTTAGAACATCAATTTCATAAAGAACGGAATGTATCTACCGTGTTATAGGGGTCAGCTGTATAAGTGTTAACTTTCTCAGCTGCAGAATTCAAAGTATCATAAATGAAATTTTCTCTTCAAAGTTTTTTAATCACAATTGACCCTTGTTTTTACCTTTCCTTGAACTGAGTTGAAAATTGCCAATTCATCATCCCAGAAAAAGGAGGAGTGAGGAAAAGACAAGACTTTGTACTTATATCAAATTATGGCTCAACTGATAAACTAGCAATTTAATATGTAATAGTTAGAAATCTGCTTTGTTTGTGATTTTAATTTTGATGAATATAAGATGGTTTCATGCTATGTTTGGTATGAGTTGATGTGATTGCCGAGCAGTGCACTGGTGTGTGAATCAGTTATTTTCAACATTCCTTAGAGAAAGGAGTTATGATATGTGGATTTGGATGAGAAATCATAACATTCAATAACTATTTCTTAACAACAAGCATTTTAATTTTGTTCAAGAAAAGATATATACAGTCGACCCTCCCCTATAACACTGTTGATTATTCCATTTTATATGAATTCCATGTTGTACGAGTCACTTAGATTTTACGAATACGTGAGCCGTTCACAGCCCGGCATCTAAGTGATCTCGTGTAAATCTAAGTGACTCGTACAACATGGAATTCATATAAAATGGAATAATCAACAGTGTTATAGCGGGGCCGACTGTATTATCTTGTGTAACATTCTAGTATGCACATATTTTCACTTATTTACTTGACAAAGTTACAGAGAAAGTTATAATTGAATACTATCTTGAAAGTAATATATCATTGGATCTTCACAACTCAGCATCTTTTGCTATAAATTTGTACAATTGACAGAGAAAGAATAAGGCTCTAATGTTTGTTTTTATTATTATTTCGAATGACTAAGACAAAACCTTTCTCACTTATTTCTAGCTGTTTACACACTGAGTACAAACATAATGATAAGGTTTAGATGATACTGGGGGGCATTAATTAACGCCCTCAGTATCATCTAAACACTGTTTCTCAACCCCTAATGAATCATTGCCCCCTTCAATAAAACCGTTACGTGCAAATAAACCTTCACTACAAAATTCCGATGCCAAGGGACAAGGCTAATGCCAAATTCATACTGCATTGAATAGACTAGTGACCAGTATAATGTTATTTGTTTAATTATTGTATGATATAACAAATAAAATATCTAATTATATATAATGTAATGTTTTACTATATTGCCCAGAAAATTATTTTTTGCTCCAAAATATAAATTGTTGCTAATCGCCCCCTGAACATGGAAAAATGCCCACATGGGGGCGATATTGCCCTGTTGAGAAACACTGATCTAAACCTTATCATCAACGATGACATCACTGGTAAGACAAAACCTATGTAAACACTGACACCATTTGAATGTCTACCAACCGATGTTCTAACAGACCACAATGTACCTGAAGAAGGCTGAAAATGTTTGTACTCAGTGTGTAAACGGCTAGAAACAGGTGAAAGATTTTGTCTTAGTCATTTTAAATAGTTCTAGCTCCAAAAGTATTATTATTTCATTGAATGATTAAATAAATGATAAAAATAAAAGAAATATATAATTCATAAGCTTAATGTTGGCTAATGTAGAATGCTTTTTTAAAAAGTCATATCCATAGAATGTTTATCTTTTTAAATGGTTGATAAATGGAACAACTTGTAACTTGAAGAGGCTACTAAAGGTGACTGAAAACATTTGTATTTCTAAATAAAGATGCTGGAATAAGTACGAAAGGTGTCATTGTGTGCATATATTTTATTATTCAGTAGAATGTCAGTTGTATGAATGATGCATGATAAGTGAAAATGGCAACTACCATGTTAAAGTGTACAGTACTGCTGATTCAAATAAATGCCTGCTTGTTTAAAATTTTATAGATATTAAAGGCTTATGGAGTCCTAGATCTTCAGCTGTGGAGTCCACTTTGGGAAATATAGTCTGAAAAATATAGACTATTTCTTTTAGGAGATATTTCTATAATTACAAAAAATATAAAACTACAAAATACTTTATATAAAAATTGTAAAACCATTTGATTTACAAATTTTATATAAAGTATTCAAATTTTTAATTTCCTTCAAATCCTTTAAATTTCAAAATGAGCAAATATTTTCTCTTTGACAATAGTTATCAATAGCTTTGCTATCTGTCTGTGTAATTTTAACCTTCTGTTATCTGTGCTCTTAATAACATCTAAGTACAGAGCACATATGTTTATGGTTTTCATCAAATAACTCAATGGTGGATGTTTTTATATTTTTAATAAAATAGGCTGTCAGATTCCTAGCAGTTCTATAAACATGGCACAAGTAACTTTCAGTTACCCAAGCCATGTTTTATTATTGTAGAAAATCTGACTATTCAATATACAGTAATAGTAAACTGTATTATATGATTTTATCTATAGTTTGATATTAACTCCTGATCTAGTAGTTTTTTAATTTAAAAAATTTCGGAGAATTATTTTTTTTATGGTATACTGTTCAAACATTTATAAATGATTTTTCTATTTATTAATTTAAAATTATTTCTATTCTGAAGCTGTTTCCTTTCCTGGAAATTTAATTTAAATTTAATAGTTTTTCATGATTAAGTTAAAATATTTTTATTTTTCTCTTTCTTGGTAATAATGAGATTTTTTATATTTTAGGATGGATTTTGATTGATCGTTGTGGTAAGCATTTTGGAACAATTCTGAATTTTTTGCGAGATGGCTCTGTTTCTCTTCCCGAATCAACTCGTGAAGTTGCAGAATTATTAGCTGAAGCAAAGTATTATTTGATTCAAGAGCTCATAGAAAGTTGTGAGTCAGCTCTGAGAAAACATGATATGGAAGCAGTACCAATATGTCGTGTGCCATTAATAACATCATCAAAGGAGGAACAAAATCTTATTAGTGTGTCAACAAAGGTTTGCAAATTTTAATTCTAAAATAAGTATTTAATATTTTCTATTGCTATTGCAAAGTTTTTAAGAGCATATTAAGTTTAATAATCTGAACATTTGTAATTGATTGACTTAATTTAAATCAAGTACATACTCAATTAAGATTTTTGAGCTTACCATTTCGATAGTAGTATGACTATTGTTACACACTAATTAATTATGCTAAAACTGTAAAATTATGTATTAGATGAGTTATAGGCAGGTCTCCAAGTGATCAAGTCACTGTGTGCATATTTTTCATAGATTATTATATAACATATGTTGATAATGATAAATTATTTTTAATACAGCTAATTTCTCTATGGAAGTTACATGCCACCACTTTCTGTGAAAATGTGGAATACTGCAAAAATCCATCTATTGCTCAAATAGTTTGATATTTTCTGCATATGCCTAGACACTAGTGATATTTTAGAAGTACAGTCAAATAACAGGTTAATTACATACATACAGTTCAGTTCAGTTCAGTTATTTTTATTGTAAAATACCAAAAGGTACATTCCCGGTACCGTAGGTACACAACCGGGTAAGATCGCGACAATGGATTAGCATTCAGTGTGACATACAGATTACAGTCAGATATGGTTACAATTACAAATGCAATAATACATCATGTAAAGCTACGAAATTTAGAGTTAGGTGATTACATCTGTTAGATTTCAATTATAATACAAGGTTAAGAAAAAAAANTAAGTAATTTAGAATATTTTTGAAGAAAAGAAGCAACATGGAATGGGATTTGAATCCACAACTCCCACTTACCGTATGGATGTGTTGCCAGATATGCTGTCCAAAAATTATTTAATAAAATATATTATTATGATTATTAAATTTAATAAGAGATAGTGCCTAATGCCTATCTCTAGTACCAAATTACTTAAATAAATTATTAATAGTAGAAGAAAAATAACTTAATATGTGTGGCAATCATTTGGTTCTGATTAACTAATTAATCAGAGCCAAATGATACATAACAAATTATTAGCAGATACAACTTAGAATTTTATAATTTTAACATTGAAAGTTAGAAAAGACCTGGCATTGTAATATTAAGACAATTTTTTGACTTGGAGTTCTATATATGAAGTTTATTATGTGACATAGTAGTTTTTACTCAGCATCCCCACATTAAATAGCCAGGAAGCACCACTGCTGTACACATATAAACTTTTTTTTTGTTAATGTGTTGTACTGTATATTAAAAATATTTTAAGTAATAAGTGACGTTTTTCGGACCATGTTCTCAAAATGCAGTGTCAAGATTTTATTACATAGTTAAGAACAAAATATGCATCAAAATATTCACCAAACACATGCAATGCTTAAATGCACAAGATCATGAGCCTAGTTATTGAGATGATGATCACTGTGAGACTGATGATGCACATACTCCACTATCACTTCAGGATATCTATCCTGAAGTGATAGTGATATTGAGCAGTAGCAATCAAACTTTTAGTATGATAAATTTTGTATCTGCCACTGTAAATACAGATCCTTCAAAAATGGAGACCCAATTGTAACGTTAAATTTAGTTGCAATAATTTAAAATTATGTATAATATGAATCGTCATTTAATTAATGTTTTGTAATTTCAGCCAGTAGTTAAGTTGTTAATAAATCGTCATAACAACAAATATTCGTACACAAGGTGAGTTCCTTGTCTCTATTTTTATTACTTTCTTAAACTTATCCAAACATAATTCAATTTTATTTGCATTGATTTTAATTTTATTTTTTGGGGATGGAAAAAATAAAAACAAGAAATTGTTTCATAAAGACTGATTCTAATCTATTTGGTTACTTATGCAATCTCCAACAGACCATAAAAAATTAATGCCTTTTTTTCTACGGGAAAATTCTCCAAAATGGAAGCAGATAGGACCAAACAAGGTTTTTTTTCTTTACAATCTTGTTTAATTTTCTATTAATAATTTTCCAAATTTAGAATTTGAAAAATCTTATTTGTTAATTTTTTACTATTTTTTAAAAATTTTTAGGTTAAAAAATTAATGAATTTGATTTTAAAAATTGTGGTCCTTACATTAATAGAAAAATTAAACAGGATTGTAGCAAAAAAACCTTGTTTGGTTCTATCTGCTCCTGTTTTTGAGGATTTTCTCATGAAAATACATTAAAGGGTTATGATCAGCCTTAAAGTAAACATTTTTCTGTAAATTGTATGTGCAGGGTGTTCCAAAAAGTATACACACTTTAACAGCTGATAGCCCAATTGATGTTTTTGTATTTCTAGGTTAAACCCATTAGAATTAATAATGGAAGTAAGACAGCTTTGAACAAAGGAAATTCATTCTAAAATGTTACTGGAAGTGTGAAAATGCAGTTGAAGTGCAAAGACAAGTTTAGTAGGGAGTTTCAAACAGATCCACCAATGTGACTTACCATCACTTGTATTAGAGATAAGTTTGAAGCCAATGGAATTGTTCAGAATGTCCATGAGAAATATTCCAGAAGACCACAGACAAGCCGCATAAAGGAAGAAAGAGTACTGGAAATGTATCACCAAACTCGCCACACTGATTTTCTTGAACTCCAAGAAAATCAGTGTGGCGAGCAAGTTATGAGTTAGGTATCTCAAAAACATCTATCCAACGCATTTTGAAACACTGTTAATGGAAAAGTTACATTCCAAGATATCTTCATTAATAGTGTGGACTAGATCCAGATCATAGAGTATTGCGAGTGGTTTGAAACTCCCTCCTAAACTGTCTTTGCACTTCAACTGCATTTTCACAATTCCAGTAGCATTTTAGAATGAATTTCCTTTGTTCAAAGCTTAGTCTGACTTCCATTATTAATTCTAATGGGTTTAACCTGGAAATAATTTTTTTTTTCTTTGAGCTATCAGCTATTAAAATGTGTGTATTTTTTTGGGACACTCTGTATTAGGCAAAATAGAAATATTTAGTAAAACTACTTTATTAATTTTCACAGGACTGAGCAAAACAGAAATCATTTTCACTTTTGATTTAAGTACAGTGAAAATAATGAGAAGTGTAATAATAAAATGTGTAATTTAACTTAAATTAATTTTTTTTCAAAATTTATTATTGATTTTCCATATCAAAGATTATTTTATTTTTAAGAGGTTAGCGTTAAATCGCAACCTTTAATAAAGTTATCTTTCCATAGTACATCGGACGATAATCTTCTGAAGAATTTGGAATTATTCGATAAATTATCGCTCAGATTTAGTGGTCGAGTATTGTTTATTAAAGACGTCATCGGAAGCAACGAAATCTGCTGTTGGTCGTTCTACGGTCACGGCAGAAAAGTCGCAGAAGTCTGTTGTACGTCCATCGTCTACGCCACCGACAAAAAACATACTAAAGTAAGAATTCGTTTTCGTTGTTTTCAAATTGTAAACAATTAAAAAACGGTGCTCCCCCTCGAACTTCGATGGCTATACAACGACAGTTAAAATAATTAAACGCACTTTATTCGATCAGGTGGAGTTTCCCGAAGCAAGAATATACGAAGAAACTCTAAATATTCTTTTGTACGAAAATCGGACCGGTCCCGACATGGAACTAATGCAGGCCACCAGCACGAGATGCGCGGTTAGCATTTCTACGACAACGTACACCAGCGATGACGAAGAGGATCGAAGGACGCCCGGAACCAGTACTCGAGAGGGAAGAGAAGCCTCTCATTTGGGACGGATCAGAAGCACCAAGCAGACTAATTGATCCCTTTGCCCCCTGTCCGTTACTGTGATTTCGTATTGCTCAAGAAAGTTTCCTCTCGGAATGCGGAAACTCTTTAAATTGTACACAACGCATTTGACCAAAGAAGAGAAGTTCGTCCGTATCTGTAAATAATTTTATCCTTTAGCTTGACAAATAATTCTTTCGAACAAAAATGTTCCGCCGGTGATTCGTGTTCGTCGTATTTCCGTGGTAAAATTATTCCGTGATGAATTTTGTGCTAAAAATTAACACCCATTAAATTATTTGTTTCTAAATGTAAAGTGTAAAAAAAAAATTGTATAAAACAAAATCGTGTGCAATGATAATTTTAAATGTGCAGTGATTTGTGAAATAAACGAAAAGCTGTTGCTTGTGAAAATTTACATATCGAAAAATCTTTGTTACGTTCCTATTTCGTACGAATTGGGAGTTTTATCTGATCAATACAATGGAAAGTGTGACATCGCTCTTTCCTTTACGCGTTACAATTTTTATAGATAAGCGAAAGTTCTCGGATAATTATGAATTTTATGGAATGGTAATTTGACCAATTTTCTGAAATTTACGTGAAAAACCAGAATTCAGAAAACTTCTAAAATTTATTTAAAAAAATTTTTAATCAGATGATATGATGAAAACAAATTAATTTTGTCTGATGTTTTTCATTTGGACAAAATTAAACTCATTTTAAGTTTTTTACAGCTGTGTGTCGAAATCGCGTGTAAAGTTTTGATAAATTACATCAAATGTTTCCTAATGAAACGCAGATCTTAAATTTCAGTCTACCTGATTTATTTGAATCTTACATGCTGTTTCGTTTACATCACTATTCTGAACAGATATGCACAAAGTTCTTTTTGTAGATATTTGAAATTCCACATCACAATAAATTGAAGTTGTCGAACATTTCGAACTTCTTTTGGAAAATGGTCTCGCGAATTCACAAAGAATGTTTTGTTTTTATTAATAAAATGAGCCGGGACTAAAAAGGAAATTCTATAATAGTAATTTAATGAAAAATAACTTTTCGACATACGCGTCGTATTTGCATAATTAACAAGAATTTCCAAATTATTAACCAGAACAGAAAGAGCCTTTAACTTGGTCCAGAGTTTTATCGGCACCCTTTAAGGACTAAATATCGGACTTGTGTATTACAGTAAAACTTATCAGTCTATAAAACAATTTATAGTGCCTATCAGAGTAAAAAACGTACGCGTAGAACGTACACTGTAGGGTGTAGGGGTAGTGAAAATATTCAGAGGGGGACCTCATAATTGAATTGCACCTAGGGCCTCAAGTGGTAAATCCGCCACTGTCGACAGCGCAAGAATCAGTTGTCATCCTTTGGTAATTCTTGTAATATAAAACTTTAAATAATGGATGGCAATGAGAACCATATTGTGTTGCCGGATGTCGAACTGGACGTTTTGTGCTGTGAAATATTTCACAAAACGGAATGGTAATGATTGGTCCGATGCTATATTTGTTTCGGGCGGAGTTACCGGCTGTAGTACAGCCAGCAATGAAAATCTCACATAATACATTTGTACAGTACGTTTTGTCTTCATGATTAGGCAATTGGTTTATTTGTTTTCCTAAATTTACAGTACTGCATACTTCAACACATTTAAAAGACATTTCTTTTGGAAAGTCCAAAGACGTTGATATGGTACTTTTATTATTGTTCACTACACTGACTGGAGGCAATGTTCTTTATACAAAGTATTGTTAAGACGAACTAACCTTTTGTTCGTTATGTTGGAGACACTGAAGCCGTGAGCGCGAATAGGGACCACTCCGAAATGCATTGTTAAATAGGCGAAATAAAGACAACTGTTTTAATCTCGATCTCTGTTAATTATCCGTAATTAAGAAAGACGTGATAGATATTACTAGTCTGACAATTGGAAAAAGAAAACTCCACTTATAACTTTTTATACGATCTCTAGCCTGACTCCGCCAAGTGAACTACGGTCCTTCTCCCAAAGGCTTTTTACATTTCTAACCTTTCAAGTTGTTTCGGCCGAGGTACTATTTTTCATTTCTAAGCAGTGAAATATAATTCTCTATAAGACGACAGTAACGATTTCATGTCACGTTATAACTTTAAAGCTCGTTTTTCATTAGGATCATACTTGACAAATTTTGTGTAAAAATCGTTCGTGTAAAAACAGAATTAGAATAGAATAAAAACATTATTTTTTTGTATGTCGTTGTCTGTGGTCTTAGATTAGATTTATACATAGCTAAATAAGGACCTCTTGTTTTTAAATCTATTATTTGACGGAAATGGAATGATATTTTGTTATAGCTTAGGATTACGTGTTTGAATCTCATCCTTACTGAAATCAAAGTTGGCAAACTTTTATAGATGCGCCTGCCAAAATAAGCACGTTTAACTCTAAAGCTTCTACATAACATAACATTGATTATATTTAACAATCTGTTACTAATTTAGGTAATATTTCATGGTATTTGTATTTTCTTTGTTACTTAAAAATTTGATTGATTTCCGAATCAGTTCAGTTGGCATCTTAGAATTGGAAAAGACGTTATTCAATTTCAATTGTAAATATATCACAAAAACCAGTTCAATTAATTTGCAAATTTATTACTCTACAAATCAAATCTAGTTTACTAGATCAAATGTTATAGCATGTATTTGATGGTAAAATTGAAGAGAATGAATTAAATTAAGTCTTCAAAGATGGAATTTGAAGTTAGCAATAGACTAATTATTTTGAAAATATCACAAAATTAAGAAAAATTTTTATACAATTTGAAATAATAGAAATTAAAATTTTTCTTTTGTTCATATGATATTTGAATGAACAGAATTAACTTTGATTACATGCAACATTAAATTTATAAAAAAAAAACATTTTAATCCTTGAATTGTAACTTAGGGATTATTGTTTGTTGAAGCAGACATAGATAACTGATTTGAAAATACACTTCTATAGATTTGTAAATAAATAAAATTCACAAAAATATACTTCAGAAAAAATTTATTTATTCAAGCATGAGTAGCAAACAGATTCAGAGACAAATTTATAAAATGTTGAAGATGAATCTTAGATCGAAACTTTGCAAACATTTCCTTTTGCATTCTCTTAGTTTGACTGTCAAATGTATTCTAAAACTTACATACACGCACTACATAACTATAGGAACCAGCACTAACTCGTTCCAAGCGAGACACCCATCTTTCCTATGTGTTATATGTATAACCTTTACCCAAGTTCTTTGAAGTCCGGCAATCTGCCAGTCGTGCTACAAATAAGTGGCAATAAAACCGAAAACGAGTCGTGAACAAAATGGTATACATCGAATGGCAATTTCTCACCGAAATAATATAGTGTGTAAGACATATAGTACAGTGCCGACCAACTAAAAACAATTTATGTGCAAGTGTCTAGTGTACAATAAGAAACTGTTTATATGCAAGTGTCTCTACTTGTTATACTTTCAACACCTAGTATAAGAAGGTGACAGCCGGATGTTTGAACGGTTAAGACTTCGATCTACCGCTGTGACATCGATTCGAACTGTTGAAGAACCCAGGGCGGTCTGTCAAGACCCGTTCCATACAGTTCGGCAGCCCACATCGTGGATCTTGAGAAACCAAAAATATGTAGGATTACAACAAAGCGATTATTGATGCGAACGTGTGAAATTCCATTTAATCAATGCAAGATGTGTGATTACCAGAGCCACTTTGGCCGCCAATTTAAAGTCTTTTAATCTTTAAAATTGGCGTTTCCACTTCCCGGGACGAGGACCCAGGGGTTGGATTTGTGGGAAGCGTGTGTTCGGGTTGTTTCATTGTGTCGAATTACACAGAACGAGGCGCTTGACGTGTAAATGCGTGAGTGCGAGAATTCGAGTAAAAGTTAAACGCTGTATATCTTCGTGTACAGTGATGTTATGTCCGTGCGTGTGTGTGTATGTGTGTGATCGAAGAACATCTTCGGCACGTCTATAAACAGAAAACGGTAAATTACGATACGAGAATAAGATGTGTTAAGAAATGAAACGAAAGAGTTCTTACCATCGGAAAATATTCACTTGTGCGATAAATGGCCACTTCTTGGTCCTCTTCGTGGTAAAGTTGGGGAGGGAGATCCTTCTCCCTCCCAAATGTTCCTATAAAACACAAAGGCAGTGAGAAAACGAGAAGTTTATTCATTCATTAACTAAGGTCAAGATTATTACCTTAATTAGACAGCCTTTCTTCCCGAACAGTGTTATGAGAAGAGCGAAGGACCCGACCTAGCCTAGGCTAACCTAACGAACCCTAACCGGAAGCTCAATCCTCATAACAGCTGTTTGGGAAGAAAGGTCGGCCGAATGTCGCGTCCGGTGAAGAAACGTGTCAAGTCCGTGGGTCACGTCCGGGTAAGAGAGGTCACGTCCGTTAAAAAGTGTCATGTCCGGGTGAAAAGTGTCGAATCCGGTAAGAAAGTCGCATCCGGGTGAAGAAGAGGAAATCGAAGAAGATCACCGCCTAGGCCAAGGCAACCGCAGCCGTCCGCAGCAACTAAACCACGGACAGCACGGTCCCTCGACTTCGGGGGCTCTCTCCTCCGACTCCTCCCCGTCCCGACTTCGGCAAGGCGGTGGCGTCGCCGTCGCGGACGAACGGGCAGAACACGACCAAACAGAAAGTGTCAGCTCGGACGAGCTGTCACTTTCGACATCCTCCACAGCAAGGTCTGTGGCCGGATGACCCCCGAAGACCTCGGCCAAGCGCACTGGGCCCTGGGTGTAGCGTCGCATCATCCCGACTCCGGGAGGATGCCACGCCACGCGCACTTGGCCAAGGCCTTCTTCACCCGCTGCCTGTCGCTCCTCGGACGGCACGGAACGACAGACTCGTTCCGCGTCGTCCGAGGAACCCTCTCCCTCCGGCGCCACCGCCTGCCTCCGCCGGAACCGCCTCCAACAACGCAGCAACGTCTTCATCCTGTAAAAAAGAAAATTTGCAATTAGTCCAGTGAAAACAAAAGCTTAAATTAATGCTTAAATTCTTCCGAGTAAAAGCAAGCCGCCTTTTTAAATCTAAAAGATTCGAATCCGACTATCGAACGATGTGCCGAGATGTCTTCTGGGACCGATTCTCCAAGTAATATTAAATCAATTCTTACGTCTAGGGTCAATATGGACTAAGACTTACCTAAAAAATCTTGAATCCTCTCCGCAAAAGTGCACAAACCGCAAAAAAAGCAACGCAATCCAAGAGCAGAACAAAAGCACGTCCGAAAGCAACAAGAAACACAATCGAACTGCGATTCGTCATGCGTGACGTATTTCGAACAAACGTTAAAAACGCGTCAACAATGTTCGAATTTCGTAAAAAAATCAATTTTTTAATTTTTTTAATTAATTAATTTATAATTATTTTTCTTTTTTAAATTATATTAATAATTTAATGAATTAAATAAATATTTATTTATTATTTAATAAATTAAATAATAAATAAATAAATCATCTTCTGCATTTACATGGTGCAGAATGTCGACCGTGGATCTTTTTAAATTCTACGTCTCGAGGCTTGACCATCTCCGAAATTCGTTCGAATAAATATGTTTTTCGTCCATTTTCGACCATGGCATGAAATAAATCAAATTCTTAGGATTCCTCGGTCGCCGCGGGTTTCGCCTATTAATGCAACATTAATATTAAAAATAGCGAAAAACCTTTATAATACGGCCGAACGAAAATTAAGTCCGACACAGAGGATAAACAGACTGAGCTAGGGGGAAACGACCATTCTTTCTCCTTGAATTTCTGACTTTTTAAAGGATCTCTCCCCTAAATTCTTAATGTGATCGCTTAATCAATTTGACACGTCCGCAAGTGTTGATCCAACTTTGAAACTTTCGCTCGTACCTCTCGTGCCATGATATTTTATTTCCTGACCGCTGAGAATTTTTTTTACTTACAACGCGACAATTCTGCTTTGGGAGGAATGCTACATTTATTTCCAAATTTTGTCATTGTCGTCCGTCCGCATGTCTTAACCTCGAGAACGGAATTATATGAAATCCGAGACCAGATGTGGAAACTTTAGAGACAGGAGGCCCCAATTAACTATATATGATCTTCCGATTCAAACCGAAAGTCTCGTTTTTTTCAATTCAAAACGTCAGTTAACAGATGACTATTGTTAACGGAAAAGTGTGATGTACAGGGGCAAGCCACTACTAGCTTGAGATATTTTGAATTAAATGATTTCAAAATATGATTAAGAATTGCAGTCCGGCATTGTGACCGTGTCACAATAGACAATTGCTCGTAGTTATCGTTTGTGAAAATATTTACGATGAAAACTAAATTTTGATCTTTGTCGTGTTATGAAGCAGAATATCGAAGTTAAAATTCTTCTGAGAGGTAAAAAGGAGTTAATAATTGCGAGAAAAGGCATTTTCCCATCAAAAATAAACAAACAAAACATGCCAGTAAGTGCAAGAGACTGATATATAGAAGCTACACCATTAATTAAGATGTGCACTATATCCATCATTGTGCATAACAAAAGTATATTAATTTTTCCGGTCCAATAAATTTCGTTTTATTATACTTGTATTGATTGCGTTCCGCTTTTACTTTTCCGGCTGTTATGTATAGCATTATGTTTATGTTATGTTATACATAACAAGGAAATGTATTGGATTCGTTTCAAATTTATCCATCCGAGTTTTTTTTTTGTTGTTGCAAATCTCCACATTTTGAGAATTTATGAATCCCAAAAAATAAAAAAATACTATACAGTATGACATTTGATGATAGGGAAGCTGTGTTTCCATACAAATTTTAAACAAATACTGAAAATGATGTGGGGTTCGAGGGAGGGAGAAATTTAAAAAACTCAATGAACGATAATATGTGATATATATCTTCATAGTCTCCCTTGCCGTTTGGACTGCCAAGCGGTAACAATCAACGACATGTGGAAGCAGTTGAGTCAGAGATAGATGCCTCGTTTACAATAACACAACCCGTTTATTAAACACGAAAGAAGCTTACAAGATTTCCGCGATCTTGGAAGTTCTGCGGCGTTGCGGCCTCTGGGTCTTCCTCTCCTTTCCAAGGCATTTTGAAGGAGTGTCCCTTGTTCGCGAATGAACAATTCAATCGACGTCTCGACGACTCCGGACGATGCGGTCGACTTCCATCGGTGGAAAGATGTCTATCGGAGGTCGGAAGATGGACGCGAGACACACACACAACAATAATCCGTCATTTGGAACTTTGGGAGAAGAAGCAGTCGCGTCCTTGAATTTCCGGGGTTTTATCCGTTCTCTTCAGATTCCCCTTTCCGATTGGTCTCTCCTCGTCACCTGATGACAATTCGAAACCTTTCGGGGCGCGGGAGAGGTCAAAATCGACGTTTAATTCGATCTCCAACCGGAGATGGTCGACGGACTTACATTCTTCTATTGTTTAAAAGTAGGCGTCGCGTTTTCATAAAAAGTCTATTTCTAACTACAGTAATACCCCGAACTTACGCGATAGGTGGGACCGAGCGATAACCGCGTAAGTCGAATTCGCGTAAGTCGGGGTATAATTTCGCATATAAATACATACAAATAATTTTTAATTAGGGCCGGAGACTAAAAAAAGCAATAATTTAGAAAAAAATGTTTAATAAAATCTTAGATAATACATATGTATAACATATTATTATACAATTTTTCACAATTACTTGATTATCACACCATAATTTTAACATTGTTTCCATCCCAGCGATAATACCGCGACGTTTACGAATGATGCTTGAATTTAAAGATTGAGCATTTTTCGCAGCTTCGAGAATTTTTTCTTTACCTTTTATAATTGTTCTGACCGTCGATTCCGGTAGATCAAACTTCTTTGCCAATTCACAAATTTTCATTTTTGTATCGAAGTCTTTAATAATGTTAACTTTACATTCCAAAGATAAAGTTTTTCTTTTATTGTTTGATGCAGAAGAATCAGTTCTACTTCGTTCAGATGACATAGTAGAGTCTCTCGAGTCTCCGTAGATAAAACAAACACAGAAATAAATAACACAAAATAAATTGCAGCTATGCGTCGATTCCGCGCGACACGTCCGAACATGTAAGCCGAACAATAGTGTGGGGGGAGTGAGTAATCAAGAGTTGAGTGCCGCTCAAACAAAAGACGAATCGGCGAGATTTGAAAATCGCGTAACTCCGAGTTCGCGTAAGTCGGGGTAGCGTAAGTCGAGGTATTACTGTACTATATTTTTTCTTTAAAACAAAATTATTTTAACGCGAATTTTAGTGAGGGTTCGGACATGTCCAGAGCCTCACAATAATAAAAATAAACAGTTTATTTATTTTAATTCTAAAATAGATAATTGACACAAAACAAAGATATAAGAACTTAGTTTATCAAAAATAATAAATCTGTGACGACTTTGCAGAAAAAAATTGCCGCATACTGTAATCACTTTATCATAAAAATCGCTCGTCGTCGATTCCATCAAAATATTTTAAAGCTCTTTTTCTATTGAAAGCAACGCTAGTGACAACAATCTTCCTCCGACTGTGTTTGTTGCCTTTAAATTGTTTCATGGTTGAAAAACTGCGCTAGATGGTACCGAAAAAATTAATGATATTAAATCATATTCGTTTAGTACATGCTCGAATGAGTGTAATCTGGCTGCTTTACACGATTCAAATATTTTCGCCGTGGAAACTCTCCGTATTCGACAATACGGCGTTTCCATTGGGAATATGTATACACGAATTTCTATTCGAATGTACAATAGCAATCTTATCATTGAATTACTTAATGCGATTATCTATATAAATAAAAATGTAAATGTTCGTTTGTTCAAAATCTTAAATCTCCGAAAGTTCTTAACAGATTGATTTGAAATTTTGACACAACGTTGCATTCGAATACGTACAGTACGTTGTTATATAGATGTCGAAAATCCCCCGAGGGAGAGAGGGACAGGATTAAGGCTGACCATGAAGAACTCGGCTTATATTATAGTATTTTCGATGCGAATTTTTGCGTTTTAATAGGGTACGTCATGAGAATGTACATTAAGAAGGGATTTTTCGAAATTCCCTCCCGCGGGGAGTGCTATATATTTATAATAGATACATTTTAAGCCACAGCAATGCGTGGCCGGGTACAGCTAGTAATAAAATATTAATTTCATGTATTTTATTACAAATTTCTATACATGTGAAAAACAAAGTACGTTAAAATATGAAAATAATCGCACAATATGTATTTATATTTTAGAAAATTTGCCGTCCAGGGAAGCAGCGTTTCAACAGCTTCTATGGACGGCAAGCCACTGGTTTGTTATATGTATTCTCCATATAATGACCATTTATCTTGGTCTCAAGGGTAAATACAGTGAAAACTTATTCCGCAACACATGTTGGTAAACACTGCTATGGACTAGAGCAGTGGTACCCAATTAGTTTTTCCTGCGTACCACTTCAAGAAAGAGCTGAAACTCGCGTACCCCTTATAGTAGAAATTCATATTAATCCATATTATTATTATAAATTCGAAGGTAATTCTGCCTGTCTGTCTGTTACCTTTTCACGTCTAAACCGCTGAACAGAATTTTAATAAAATTTGGCACGGAGATAGGCTACATTTTACTGCGAGAAAATTCGATATAATGCTTGCGAAGCTGTGGGTAGACAGCTAGTGATAAATAGAATAAGTGTTTTTACATTTATTATCTTTAAAATATAATTATAACAATAATGAAAATAACATAAGGTTATTTAATTTTAATGTGACAAATGTGCACGATTTTCTTTGCACAACTTTGTAAAATCTGGTTGCTTTTTGGTCGGCTTCAGTCTCGAGTCATCTTCGAATTGAAGTCGGAGACGATGTTTAGTTTTCATGTTTGTCATGGCCAAAAATCTGCTCTCGCAGAGGTATGTTGTGCAAAATGGTAGTAAATATTTTATTGCTGCTTCGCTGACATGATGATAATGTTAATTGTACAATTTTTGTTTCTTGCGTAAGAATTTCATTCAGGTACGGTCACAAATGCATTTTTTTGATGAAATTTCGAGAATATTCTTAGTTATAAAAATAAACGAATTTGTGCATTTGACATCGTGTTGTAAATTGCCGAATTTTTGATGGTCCACCCATTATTTTTTTGATTGCTTCATCTCATGCATTTAAATTTTAAATCGACCGATTTTAGATTGCCGCGCTTACCCCCAGGGGTACGCGTACCACTAATTGGGAACCATTGGACTAGACAATCGAGATTTGAAGACTGACTTTGTACAATTTATGCTGTATTCTCCTGCACTGGCTTAACCAGAAACCAAATGTGGAGGCAAAAGTTTTGGCCAATTTTTTATTAAAATTTATAATAGGAATAATTACCTTTTGTTCTATAATGCTCTTTTACATATTATGCAAGTGAAAAAAGCAAGCATGTGGTTTTTTTCTTTTTGAAATTTAAGTTTTTCTTTGGGGGCACTCACCCCCTTGTGCTACTATTCTTGTAATTGTTAGAACAAGTCTGTAGTATATTTCAGAGTATCCAGATCCAATTTGGAATCAACCATTCCAACAATTTTTCCAATTGGATTTCCAATGAGGCATCTCTACATTATACCTGGGTGGTAAAAATTTTTGGATGAACACCAATAGTGTTTTCATTTTCTCCATCAGTTGCAATAATCTTTATTTCCCATATTTTTAACAAATTCTGCTTTATGATGCACATTACTGACATATTAACGATGAGAGAACATATGGGAGAAAATGCATTTTCTCCCATAATCTTTTCAAGTGAAAGTTTTGCAATGTTTGTGTGTTGGGACACAATTCTGATATTAGATGGCCAATGAAAATATTCAAAATTGTAACAAGTTGCACCTTTTGTATTAAAAAAATCTTTGTAATTTATTCTAAATACAAATACTGACCAATATAATAAGTAAACTTTTCATTTTCAGGTTTTCTTTAACTTGAACCAAAAGTTTATTGAAAAAATTTCATCAATATAAATGCAATTCATTCAATAGAAAACATTTATTCTCTTACAAATTTATTTAAACTATCAATATTTTATGCACTTTCTTTATGAAACAAACAAATATTTGATATGTAAGTTTTAATTACTGTACAAAAACTTACAGAGCAACAACCAATAAAACAGACACAAACCACTCCATTCATGTTCTATACATTAAATAGGAACATTCAACATTTGTACAATTTCATACTGAAAACTAAAATGTTATATTTAAATCATCTGTACATAGTATGATACTATTTACTATAACATAGATACTATTACTAGTGCAAATATTAATACTGTTTATACTGTTGTCTGTTAAATAGAATATATATAGTATCAAAAAATTTAAGGCAATAGAAAATTGGTCCGTTTTTGCATTAAAAAATTCAAGCTCGTCGTTCAAACAACAAGACGGTAATAGCAAACTGCAAATTTCTAAAAGATTTTTAACAATTGCCACTCTTATCATTTCGAGTATGCATAAGAACAATACGCAAATCAAAAATGACGTATCCAACATGCAAATCAGTGCCTTAACAGGATACTTCCACAGTAAAATTTCCTTTGTTAACAAAAAAACAGCATTACATTATGAAGAACTAACTGACAATATTTTACTCATATAACAATTACAATGTACTGATCAATATTCCACAACACCCATTCTTGAACATTTTCATTTTTAACCGTGACTAGATTATCCAATGAGCATAATATAATGTTTTTAATTCATTTATACAATAGACAACTGACGAGCTCTCTCAACTGTATTAAGGACCTTTGTTAATTTGGTCCATAAACTCAAGTTATTCATTATAGTCTGTTCGATAATTTCATGCAGACTATTGTGGAAACAAAAGCAATATTTGTTAAATATATTTCAGTTCTTAATTATATACATTTGAAAATTTGACATAGGAATTAAGTTTCAAAGTGCTTGTACAAAGATGTAACATAGGTCATTATTGACTGCCAATCTGGGCGTTCTTGAGATATCAGTTCATTTATATTCTGCAAGAATGAAATAAAATTAATTTTTAACTTATTATAATAGTAAAACATTAAATAGAAGTATATATATTCTATTTAAGCATGTTAAATAAAGTGAAATTGCATGTATTATAAAACATGTTTTACCAGCGTTGTTGAAATTCCTACAGATTCAGCAGCTTGAAATGCAATAGTAAAATTTCGTCTCTAAAAAATAAAATTTGGTTAAAATTAGAAATTCACAAAAATAAAAAAATTTTTTTAAATATATATTTTTTAATACAAATGAATATAATCTCAATTTAAATTTGGAAATTTGAAAAATCACTTCAAATACAAAATAATCTATGTAGAAACTTATAAATTCAAAATTTAATGAAAGGAAGAGGTGCTAACTATTTGATAAACTTTATGTTAAATAATAAAATTTATAATATTATTATTTATTTTTAATATAACATAAATCATACCTTATCTTTACCATCCAGTTCATTATATGGAATTAGATCAGGAAGATATGAATGTAAGAGAGCACAGAATGCCAGTCCATCATTCCAGCTACTGCTAAAATTAGTAATATCTATACCCTGAGAAAAATAAATTTATTTTTAAACAAGGAAATCATATTATTGTAAACAATATATTATATTTTTTATTCACACAATCTAAAATATACCTAAAATTATATCTTAAAAAAATATCTAACCAAAAGTTATGCAAAAATACAGTGCTGTAAATTAGTCAAAAATAAATATATAAATAGTGATTTACCTTATATCCCATAGTTTTATTCTGGCACCATTTCAGAAGAGCATTGCGTTTAGAGCCACCACCTTTTACTAATGATGATAATGGATCTTTTTTTTCTACATCCCTAATAGAAATAAGTTAAATTTTAAAATAATTACTAATGACATATTTCCAAACATGATTTTATTTTAACTAACTATATANTAATCAGAATTGATATAGTCCTTCCAACAATAATAGAACATACATGAAAATAATAGTTTCTAGGTAATCACTGTAACTTTAATGACATTTTCTAGTACATTTTATAGTACAGTACCTCAACAATTATCTCACAAGTTTGGATAAAAATGATTAATAAACAAAAGAGCTAGATACTATTAGCAAAAGAGCTATTAGCAAAAATAGAATGTCTAGTATTAATAGAACATCTCAACTTATGATTAAATTAAAATTAGTAGCTGATTTTGTTGCCATTTTTGGAAACAAGCTGAAAAATACAATTAGGCATTGAATTAATTAAAGATTGCAGTTATTCTTATGGAATATTTTCCCATGCCTCAATGAGAGCAGCCTTTAATTCAGTGACAGTCTTGTATTGCTTTCCTCTGCTATACATTTGAAAAACCAAGTTACCCCAAAGATTTTCAATTGGGTTTAAATCTGCACTAAGGAGTGGACAGTCCAAAAGTCAGATGCTCTTGTTCTGAAAAAAAGGATAATGCTAATTTTGATACAAGAAGCTTGCATTATCCTGCATGAATTCAAAGTCCTGTCCATAAGTTTGGAGCTGCCTCCAGACAAGCTCCTGATAAGTTTGAGAGTTGTTTCGACCTTAATGTGTCTTTCCATTCCATCCAATTCCCACCCAAGTCATGAGTGTACAGTACCACCATCAGCTACTCTCTTTGAGTACTGCTTTTGATCTAGTAGTCTTTTGTCTGCCCAATAATACTTAAAAACCATTAGGTCCGTCGAGAGTCTACTTTTTCTCATACGAGAAAATTACTTTTCGTCATCCTTCCCCTCTTTAAAAGTAGTTTCTGGCAAACTGTAATTGAAGTTGTTTGTGTTTCTTTTGAGCCGGTTGCCTGTCTTCATTTTGATTAAAGAAACATTGTCTGTTGATCTCAAAACATTGTATACTGTTCACTTACTGCAGCTTAGCTTCAATTTATTTTTGATTTTTTGAATGAACATGTTTCCTTGCAGTGCACATCAAACAATTGCACTTTGTTCTCTACGTGTTGTTGAACTCTTGCACCCACTATTTCATTTTCCTGTTTGTTGCTCCATATTATTGAGATGCTTTGAATGTTGAATGAAGTCTTCCCAAACTTTTAGCAATCTAAGTTACTTTTCTCCGTTCCTGAAATACATCAATTTTCCTTCCCATATCCCATTTTTAATAGTAATGTACTATACTATGCAATTTACTAAACCTTTCTTACACTTGCTAATTGCATTTTTATGCAAATTTCATGGATTACAACCATTACTTTCTTTGTAATTAATTCCAATCAGTATATGTTCTATTAATGTTGGACAACCTATTTTTGATGATAATATCTAACTCCTTTGTTTATTAATCATTTTTCTCCAAACTTATGCAAATAATAGTTGATATTTTGCTACCAAAAGGTACTAGAAAACTTTATCAAAGTTACATCAAAATAATAAAGTGTTTCTAGGTAATCACTGCATGTTCTATTATTGTTGAAAGAACTGTATTTCCATATGATAATTAATGAAAAAATTTAAAATAAATAGAAGTTAATCACAAATGCTTTATTGTACTTAAAAATAATTAAGTAAAATTACTTTTATCTTTAACAATATTTAAGCATAATAAGAAAATATTTTAATTTTTTTATATTATTGTTTATTTTATTTTTCACCTGGTGAAAAATATTGTTTTTTCTGAATAAGACTTCCTCTTTTTGCAGAAATGAAAACACCAATCCTAATAATATGCTAAGTCCTAAGTAGACAATAATACAGGGTGGACCAAAAAGAATATACATATTTCAAACTGATATATTTATTAAACTATCGATAGTAGCAGTGTGCTGCGGGTATCGGAGGAACGAGTGCATTGTCTAGTTTGTCCCCAGATGTCAGTTGTGCTTGGTTACAATGACGTATTCACAGTTGTTGTAAAATGGCTACGCCACAGCACAAAAGCTTTTGTATTCTTGAACTTGCAAAGTGTAATTCCGTGATTACAGTGCAAAGACGTTTCCGGTTGAGGTACGAAATTGATCCTCCGAATGGATGGAACATTCGCAGATGGTACCGTCAGTTTGTTGACACAGGTTGTGTATGTAAAGGAAAGAGTCCTGACCGACCTCGTGTATCTGAAGAAAATGTCGCACGGATTCAAGCTGCTTACCAACGTAGCCCTTCAAAATCAACACGTTGTGCCAGTCGGGAATTGCAGCTGCCTAAAACAACAGTTTGGCGTGTTTTGAGACGCAGGTTAGTTATGAAGCCCGGACCGAACTCCCGCACGGACCCCGGTTCCCGGATACCCGCACGGAACTCCCGCCCGGACCGTTCGTGTCGCTGGTGGAGGACACATTGAACACCTGTAATCTAAACTAGAGAGTTTCATAAATATGTGTCCCAAGTTCCATAGTTGTATGTCTTACAGTTTATTAAATATATCAGTTTGAAATACGTATATTCTTTTTGGTCCACCCTGTATAACAAAAATAGTACAAAATAAGGACACAGAAGCAACTGAATCAAAATATTTCCATAATGATCAATTACTATATAATTTATGTTATATTCCATACTTATATATTTTGAATGTACAGCAGAAATTTGGATTTAATAATCATGATTACTTTTCCACATCTGGCCCTCCCATATTTGGAGTCATCAAAGGTAACCAAAAATTTTTGAAAATATTGTGCACATACTCCATATTACCTTTCCATACTGCAGTTTATACATTTTTTTTTTATTAAGGTTGCTTTGAACCTTGTAGAAGAGCACAATACATCAACCACTACTGACCTGATAGTGATGAGAATTGGTGTAATGTGGCAGCTCATCAGTTGATTAAAAAGAAACAACTCTAATACAATACATGCATAATTGTAATTGTCAAAAATAAGTATCAAAGTCAAAATAAACATTTTTATATACACAGTAAGCATATATGTTACAGTCTTACTTAAAAATTATCACATTCCTATCTCCAGATTTTAGTAATATCTAGAGCATTCCCACCTACATTAGCTTAAATGTGGGAGAGTCTACTGTGTTTAATTTGAACCTAAATGATGTATAATTAGTAGTATGAAATAACAGAAAACAAAATCTATTGAAAATGTAATCTCTAAAATGTTAATATAAAAATAAATAATGAAAAATCATTACTTATTATACAAATATTTTGACTTAAGTAAGTTATTTTCAGATATAAATTCAAAAAAAGTGTTAGACTTTCAAATCATATGAAGAAGCTTAAACAAAATGAAACTATTTGGATATTACATAATTTCTAGGTACAAGGGCAGTATTTAATTATCTTTTGCTAAAAATTCTTAGAAGTTTGATTAGTAATGAATTAAAATGTTTGATCTTTATAATAGAAATAATTATTTATATAAAAAAAATTCTTATAAATCATTACTTTTAAAAAGTTTTTATATTATAACAAGCATATTAACTAATATTTCTATCTATTAATCATGACATAATAAGTTTTTACTGTAAATAAATATTTGATATTCATAAATAATTAATTAAGTATACCTAGTACATTTTTTAATCTATACTTTTAATTTCATATAAACTAAAGATTACATAAAATTTATTTTATTAAAAACCACAATTCTATATTTTTTCTCATATAATATGACTTTTTCCAAAATTTTAAATATTTGATTCTTCAAGTAAACCACTTAAATAATTTGAAAATGCAATATAAAAACAGAAAACAATATTAAAAATGATTCTTTGCTTATAATATATTTTCATTTTTTCCATAGATAATCATATATTATCATTTAATAATTACAATAAAATTAAAATAAAATGAGCAATTATTTATTGTGACATCATCACAATGCTGGGCTACAATTTTTAATTTCTTAATTTAAAATATATGCTCTCCATCTTAAATTAGTAGTGGCTTTCCCTTGTACTGTAAATCATACTTTTTCTTTAACAACAGAGTTGTGCCAGTCATTTATCTAACACCTTTAAGGAAAAAATTTTTAAATTGAAATAACATGACTTCTGGTTTGCATCAGAAGTTGGTATATAGTTAATTGCGGTCACCTGCCCCTAAGGTTTCCATATCTGGTCTTCTCTTTCATCTACTTAACTCCATTCTTGAGATCAATGAAAAACACAGAAGAATGACAGTGGGAATTTATAGGATCTACAATTTTTTTAAATTGCTGCCCAATTAAAAATTAACTATAATGTTCAATAAACTAAGAAATCATTTCTTTATACCTCCAACACATCCTCTTTTGATTACATAATAATTTTTAACTTCAATTCAAAAACTGCATTAAAAAAGCCAACACACATCTACATAAACAATTTTATTTTTAATCTTTACAGACTTATTCAATACACACTGTTAGATTCTTTCAACTTAATAATCTTTTCTATTTACTTATTTCAGTGTTTTTTAAACTAAGAATTTTATGTCATAACTAAATATGAAACTTACCCATAACTGTTTCTTCTCATGGGTTCTAATTTACTAGCAAGAATTGAAACAGGATGAGCTGGTGGAGGCTTACTAGTTTCTATCTCACCATTTGTCTTCAGACCACTAACTGGCTCTGAAGTTAAAGTAGAAGCAATTCCATTTGATTTTCCTTCATTATATGAATTTCTTTGTAATCTACCTGACTGACTACTTGTTTTAGTATCACGAAGTAAAGAAGCATCACTTGAAGCAGAACGCAAAGGAGGCTGAAAATATTTCAAGTGTAAATAAAAGTACAAAAATTTTCAATCATCAGTATGTATTTCAGAATTTATTAAATTTTATAATAAAATAAATTTAATAAATTATTAGTTTTAATACTAGTTTATGATAAATTAAGTGTTCAAAAATAAGAACATTCTTTTTGTCATAAAATAAATTAATTTATATAAAAAACCGAAATAATTTCTAATATATTTTCCAATCATTTTCAGAGAGAATCCACATTTTTATATTTTATAAATTAAGATGACCTTGTTTGAAAATTAGAAAACAAAAATATAACTTATATTCTATTTTATGAAAGTTAATTTTAGTAGTTACTTTCATTATAGATCAAAGCTTGTTATGTTTTAAATGCAATAACTTATCAATATAGCAATAAAATTCTTAGCTAGCATTGCTATACATCTATAAATAATCCTTAAAAAATTGTAAAAAATTAGGGGGGGGTCATTTTTTAACTGCCATACTTTCCCTCTGTTATACACTCCTAAAAAGTGAAATACCAAAACAACAAAGGAATGTGGGTAGCCACATGTACTGTACATTGCAGAAGTGGCAGAGGTGACAGAGATATGCAAATGATTAAAAGAACAAAGATATTCAACAGACACCTGTTTATTCAGTAATTAATATGACTCCCAAAGGCAGTTATACTGGCCACTATATGGTGAGGCATACTATCAATGAGGCAATTAATGATTGCATGAAGTATTCCTTGCCAAGCTGTATCCACTATGGCACATGTCATCTATGGTATGTGGCAATGGTTCCCCAGTGCACCTTATGTTAGATGAGATCCCACAGGTGTTCAATGGGAGAGAGATTCAGTGAGGATGCCAGCCAGGGAAGGATATGAATTCCATTCAAGCTGGTGAATGTTCTCTGTGCAATGTGTGGTTGAGGATTGTCTTTCTGGAATACATGTCAGGTCCAGCCTGCAATGATATGCCCCACAATTAATGTGACATACTGGTCAACTGTCAAAGTACCAGAAATGTGCACCAGGGCTGTCTGCTGATTAAACACAATGCCTGGTGTGTGGGCCAGTGAAAGGGGCTGAGACACAGTGTTCCCCAGGATACTGCCACACCCATCCATGGTCATTATTCCTTCACAGACAGAAATGAGATTCATCTATAAACAATATCCAATGCCATTCAATGGTCCAGTTGTGATGACGATGACACTATAATTTGCATGTGGCTACACACATTCCTTTATAGTGTTGAAATTTCACTTTTGAGGAGTGTTTGAAATCCAGCAATGAGTTGCTTAACTTTCCTTGCAACATTTAAAATTTTGGTGGCACCATCTGTTATTATAATTTATTAAAAAACTTTTTATATTTTTAATTATTGTAAAAATAACAAAAAGCTTAATTTTGAGGTTAGAGATGGGTTTTATAAAAAATTGTAAATGCTAATAATGAGTAAAATCATCATTAAGTCTGATCGTACTCGAGATATGACACACAACCCCTTTATCTACCCACTTCCTCAACCATTAACTGAACTGCTAAAATTTAATAGAATCAATCCCTCTAATACACAAACATCCTTGAAAAATTTCAGAAATTTTTGACAAAAATCATAGGAGTTATTAAGCTTCAAAGAGGGTGAACAAAATCATGCCATACACCACATAAATTTTTTCCCTCCATAACAATTAAATTTCATAAAAATATGCATTAAATGTTACAGATAAACATATAGGTGGTAAAAAATGTAAAAAACATAAGTTTAAAAATGTCAAATTTTTATTTAATTGTAAGGTAATGAAATTTTGTATTTTGTCTAATTCTTAATAAATATTGATAGCAGGCTATAAATTAAGCCATTATTCTTAATTTGGATTTAACAAAGCAAAATATCTGAAAATTTGTAAAACCAAATTTCTGTTTATAATATAGTAAGAATATATCAGATTTTCTTACCTTAATAAAAATATTACTTCCACTACCTAATAAAATTGAATTTGTAGTAGTACGAGTTTCTGAAGAAGTACTACCTACACTACTGGTTGATGAACTATGGCTACTACTCGGACCTGATTAAAAGAGTTTAATTATTAATTAATTGAAATTTAAGTATTTGTAAAATTTCATTCAGTAAAAATAAAAAGTTTTACAACAAAGAAATTTTTTGATTTAAAATTTCATCAAAAATAAATGGCTTTCCTTTTATAGTTATCATCAATTTCAGTGTATTCCAATGTTTGATATTTTTTGATTATGCTGTACATTAATGCATCAATGTGAAAATAATGTACCCATGTACATTTATTTTCAAAAATAAATATTATCTTTTAAAGGCCCTTAATATGATTCATCATTTGATCAATTTTATGTAAGCTTACATAAGTTAAAAATTTTAAAGTTGTATGTACTGTACATTAGTAAGCTTGTGTACTTGAAAGATTTAATTGCTTGAAATGTCAATAAGTCAATTTAAATTTATGAATTACAATAATTAAAATCTTTTGATTTCATAAAACAAATTACAAATAAACTTTTATAATATTAGCAGTTATGTAAAACAATTTAATAATCAGAAATGTAAAAACAGAATAAAATTCATAGTTTATACATTATTAGCTCTATGATCACTGTTATCTTGAAATCAAAAATGTTTTGTGCATGTGCTGTATGAATGTATTTATGATTTAATGACAAAATTCCAGTCAATGACTGACAGTCAAGTTCATATTTTTGAAAATATTTTAATTAAGATATGTCAGTATCACTGATCATTTCATCAATTCTTGCTTTTTTTGGCATGTTTATATTGATATTAATGAAAGTCACTATCATTACTACCTTAAGAAATGCCATATCTCTTTGGCTGTAATCACAAATGATATCATTTTGATTTGAAGACTTTTTCATTATTAAATGCTGACAATTGTGAAATATACTTGAATTTAACAATTATATTTAATTTGAAATTGTTTTGTTTGTTTATGCTTGAAATAAACATTTTAAATAGAGACTACAGTCGACCCCCCCATAACACTGTTGATAATTCTGTTTTATATGAATTTCATGTTGTACGAGTCACTTAGATTATACAAATACGTGAGCCGTTCATAACCCGGCACACATATTTGTAAAATCTAAGTGATTCGTACAACATGGAATTCATATAAAACAAAAAAATCAACAGTGTTATAGGGGGGTTGACTGTACTTTTTATTTGCAGGATAGTGAGAATATATTAAAGTGGTAAATAAAATCTTGAACAATGCAGAACAACTTTGATTTCAAAATAGCAGGTAGTGACTATATGTGAACTGCTTTTTATTGGTAAAATGCTCATTTCAATGGCAACCACATTCATATTTAGATTTTTCTTGGGAGAATCTGTTAAATTTTAATGATTAAGTGATTAACCATTAGTTTTATAATATATATTTTTTTGTTTATTTACATACATTCAAAAAAATAAATTATTTTCAGTGGGCCAACATTAACGAGTGTTTATTTCTTCTCCCATCTCATTGTTTAATGTATAAACTTATTACATTTAAAAGTAAAGTAAAAAAATTTTTTAAGTGATTTTCAAATTAAATTGGTCATGTCTTCTGAAGGTATAATTCTAATTCAGTACATCTGTAATTCTACATGTACAATCAATCAATAAAACTTGCTATTTTAGTTCTTGTCATTATCACTTGGATAACATTACCAAGTGAGTTTTGTCAATGCCATATTCAAGGTATAATTTTATTACAGCTTTGTTCAAAATTAACTAAAGTGTACTGCAAAATGCAATATACTGCTTTAAGACTTATCAAATAATAATTGTTTTTCCTCACTATTAAGTTTTTGTTTGGATAAAAATCAGTAAATTTTTACCAAACAATTAATGGGTTTCATTTATTTCCCTGTCATTTCTGATATGGCTTATAGATTAGTAAAATAGATTAAGAAAATTATCTATTTTATTAATCTATGATTAATAAGATAGCTATAGATTAATAAAATAAATCTTCAACTGAAGATCTTACATTAAGAATAATAATAATAATAATTAACAATAATGTCATTATCAAACCTGTTTTTACAAAATTAAAGTTTCCAACACTACTTTCTTAAAAATCTAAACATTTATCAAACAATTATCATATTTTACAGCATATAACATGCAATCTTATTTCAAAAAGAAAGCTTAAAAAAAATTACCCTACATCTTATAAGTGAAGTTGTTATTTTCCATAGACTACAGTAGGGTATGGGAGACCCCTTACTTATAGTCTTCAGTAGGCTACAAAAAACCTCTATCTTTCCCAACTCTTGAATAAAAATATTGATATTATTGTTTAATTAAACAAATCATCATTTGCTATAGCTGAGCAGCTTTTGCATGTATTCAAGTAGAATATTTTAGTGATAAATTTTAATTGTAAATGATTTCTTTTAAACTCTTTTCCCTTGATAAATAGAAGCGGGTATTCTAATTTTACTTTACTTATTTTTATGTTTTTAAGAATACAGTAAAAAAAATTTTGGGGCCAAGTGTCAAAAGATACTTGGCTCCAAAGGATTACTAATACCAGTATATATTAAATACTTTTTCCTAAATATTCTGTGCTAAAATGGGGGTTATTTTATATGCTGTAAAATATAGTAGTTTTTCCAAAGTGAAAATAATAATAAATCAAAAGACTACACCTATCTATTTATATTATGCTCATTCTACCTTTAGCATGTTTTGTTGCATTTTCTATTGATTCAATTAAACTTTTCACTGACATCTGAGTAGCACCTCTATGTTCTCCCCATTTTGTGGAATTCAACTGACGACGTGTTGATACTAAATCTTTTTCAACAGATGTCAACACACTTACGTCTGGAGGATTTATAATATTTGTGTTACGTAAACTGATATTCCTTTGGTGTGATGATGATAATAGTTCCTTTTTGACCTGTTTAAATACAAAACAAGCATATTTTATATTAGTTAAAACATAATCCAATGTTTTCATAAAATTATAAAATACTAAATGTTTAAAAAAATTTCTTATTTTTTACTTATTTGAATCTTGAATTCAATGTTTTTTTTTATAAATTAAAATTATATATATATATAAANAATTCTTCAAGGGAAGGAAAAAAATCAGAGATAATCTATAAGGACATGGTTCTCCTCCCCTGTGGGGAGGGGAATTTCCCCCATGGGATAGGGAAAAAATTTTCCATTGATATGAATTTATTATTTATACCACAGAATGACACTGCTGCTGCAAGAATGTTCCCTAGGGGGCAGCCTGGGCTACTAGTAGAAACATAATTTTAAAAAATTTTTATTTTTTAAAATTATGTTTCTAATTTATTATGGATCATAAAATAAATTAATTTATTAAATTATGGATCATAAAAATGTCTTTTAGTATAATTTTAATGTTCGGATATTCCCATTGATTGCAATTCCAAATAAACAGATTTCTACTGTGTTATTGATATACTTGATTATTTGCCAATCGAATTTAAAAGAAATTTTCAAAATAAAAATTCTGGATACCAGAGTTCATTATTGTGTTCAAACAGTATAATTGGCTCTTAAGCAGATAATCTTTACAAAATATGTAAATATTTCATATTAAACATTAATATCAAAATAAGTGGTTTTTAAAAGTTACTTGATTAATTCGACAAATTATAGAATTTTAAAACAAAGACAACAAGAATATGCTTTGATTAAATGTAAATATTTCATATTAATGATTAATATCAAAATAAGTGGTTTTTAAAAGTTACTTGATTAATTCGACAAATTATAGAATTTTAAAACAATTAACTCAAAAAGACTAAAGATTGATTTAATTAATAAGATCAACAAATTTTATCAATAAATTTGTTACATTATTTAGATATTTTGGCTAAGCACAAATTTATAGTTAAAAGAAAAATCTTACTTTAGAAATTGGTTTCAAAGCTTCAGAAGTAAGAAATCAATATGTATGACTTATTGTTGGCACTAATTTATTAAAATATTACAGAAAGAAGGGAAAAAAAATCTTTTTCCTAAATGCAATATTTTAAATGAGATTTCATTGAATTTTTATATTTCATTTCAGTATTAAAATTACATATTAAAACTAAAAATTTAAATTAATGATTAATTTAATTTTAAAAACTTACTTTTAATTTCTCATATTCTGATTCTAAACTTTCAATCTTCTCTTTTAACTGTTTATTTTCTACTGCTAATCGCTCTACATCCTGCTGAGCTTCAGTTTTAAAATCATTAGCTACTCTAACAGTTGTCAATAAATCAGCTTGGAAGCGCTGCCACTCTTGTATCTAAAAATTTTATTATATTTTAACAAAATTTCATAACTTTATATAATCTATCCTTAAAAAAAAATTAAATAGTCTCACTATGAAATAACAAATGTACAGTACATTCTAAAAGTAATTATATACATTGTGAGAGATCAGACTTGGAAAGGGGAAGAGCCCACAATTTTATTCAGGAATTTTTCGAAAAAAAATTCATTTTTTGTTTTGAAAAGGAAATTTATTTAAATCTCAGAAAAAAAAAAACCTTTTTCATTTTATTACCGGAGGATGAGTGCAATTCTCTTCCTGGAGTCGTTTCCTTTCCCAGGGAATTCAGAATGGGTCACTGAGAACTACAACTAAGAATTCACTATTGGTGGAAAACGACAACGTGACATGGAAATAAAGAGAAGACCTCAAGGAACAGTGAGATGGGTTGAGAGTCCGCGAGAGTATCCTGTGTGCCAGCCGAAAGATTTATCATCATCACTCGTCGCTGCACGCTCCTCCCAAATATCCAGTGTTTCTCCAGGAACACCTACGAAGAACTAACGGATCTCAACTTTCGATAGACTTTAACCACCGTCAAGGCAACAGAGACATTCCCAAGGCTCCCCAACAACTCCACAGACATCTGGAAATCCATACATAGTGCTACAGGTATTTATAATGACCCGCGATGTTATGTAAGCTCTCTCTCTCCAACTCGTTTCTCACAAAGAAGCTTTAAGGTAAATACCTCTTTGCAGAACTAGTTTAATAAACGAATGTTGTTATTGTTAGAATTGTGTTGGGTGCACTTCCTTAACCCCTTAAGCCCATAACCCGAGATATCTCGGGCAAGTTACATAACGTTACATAAAATGAGGTCCTTAAGGCCATTTTTGAAAATTTTTTTTTTTTTGAATTTTTGGAATGTTTTTTAGGTCCCGAAATTTTTTCAAAATTTTTTTCCCGCGCAAAAAAATTTTATCGCGATTTTAATGAGCCTATGTGAAGGCTCGATTAAGGCTTAATTGTTTTTTAATGGGAGTTTTTTATCAAAATTATTTCATGGTTTTTAAGTTGTAGCGCACGGATTTTCATTCAGTAAAGTTATTTAAAGTTAGTTTCTGATGTCAAAAACGACCTCCGATGGTTTTTTAATTTTTTTAATTAATATATTTTTATAAATATATAATTAATTAATTAGGGGGGGTCGGAAATCGCAATAAAATTTTGAATTTTTTAAAAATATTTAAAAATTTCTGTGTCGCTTATAGTCACCCTACTTTAAACCCTTGTCCTCCCGAGACGTCTATGAGAATGTCCCGGGAAATCGGACTCCAGCTGTGTTCAAGGTCACCCAGCTGTGTAAACAATGACTCATCGGTGTTACATTTCACAGACAGGCGAAACAAAGGAAAATAAAATTTAAAGCTTTTTCTTCAAAATAAACGCATTTCTTTCGTTTTTTTTCTGTTTTAAGTATTTTTTACGTTTAATTGAAATCTATATAAAAAATGTCAATGTCCTTAAGGAGTTAAGCGGTCTCCATCCTGAGTCCAACTGCTCACAGATGCAACTGCTCGCGCGTAAATGTGAATGTAACGGTCTCTGTGTCTACCCAGAAGACACAGCGGTGTCAGTCCTGACAAATTAGTCATTGCAGTCTTCGCTGACGCAATGTTGACCCTTCAGTCCTGTGGTGCCGAAGCATAGGGGGTGCTTCGGCATTGTCACATATAATTGACATAATTGGAGTAAATGTGTATAGTTTTAAACTAGTAATTTAGCAGCATTTGTGTGATGTGTAAAGTTTACATTTTTCAGGTACATGAGATGAGAAAGTATTGTATTGTTTTTTTGAGTATGATTTTTTGCATCTATATTGTGATTCATTTAACCTATTTAAACAGTGGATCCAAATTTAGGTTCAGACAAAACCAGGGTAGACTTAAGGAATCTTCTTGGAAAATTCCTTGCCTTATGTAAATTTGATTTGTTTCAATGTAAACATCATGAAATCTTTTTTTAATTTAATTTATTCTTTTATGATTTATACTGATTTTGCAGGGCTCTAGAAGGGGAAATAGTAGTCCAGTCCAAAAATGGAAAGAAATGACTATGATTACAGCTACAGTCTCCTAGTTACTTTATAAAGACTTCACTTTCAACACTTACCTAATTATTTCAAAAATTTTCTAATTTCTAAAGCTCCTTTGGTTTGTTGCCAGTAGGGAAAAAGCAATACCTTATGGATAACACTTTCTCTCTATGAATAAATATACTTGTTTGATCTGAAAGTGCTGCATGGTAGTGGGTAATTTGAAATTAGAACTGAATTCTTAACACAGGCAGCAAAAAGTGGCCCATGATCAGACCAACCAGACTTATTCCTATGACTTTGCTTTGGTAAGCACATTGCAAAAATGACACAAACCTGATTTATGTATTTTTTTAAATAAAATTTAGCATGGCTTGGTTTACAACATATTATTGAGTATATCATTCTTTTAAATTCAACAATATATTTCCAGATAATATAAAAAACTTAAGCTCTATGAAAGTTAACAATGTTACAATTTTAATTACTGTATTTGCCCAAACATTAATGTTTCCACCCAGTTTTAAAGGAAACAAAAATAAAACACCCCTGATCTATATTTGAACACTGACTTATACTTGAGTCCAATTAGTTTTCCTCAATTTTGATAACTGTCTGTAGTACATGTCATACAGAGTTAAACTGATGTTAAAATTCAGTGCATTAATTGTTTAGAAATGCTATAAGCAGTCAAAGTTGTAGACCTGTCATGCAGCAGTACACAAATTATGCACAAGAATTAAGTGTTTGGCACAATTGTAAATAACTAATTAGTCAACTGTTTTTATTGCATTCAACAGAATCAGTTTTGGTAACTTCTTTGAAAATTTTATTTTGGTAACTTTATACTCCTAAGTTTCTGTGTGTCAACTAATTAAGTGATCATCAAAAATTGAAGAAAAGGTTACTGAAAATTTACTCTGTTGCAAGTGTAAATTTCTATTAATTATAAATTTGTGTACTTAATATGATTTTAGACTTTTATAAAAAGTTTTGGACAGTTATAAAAAAATAAAACAAATGAGAATGAAACACAGTTTGTTTTTGTTTTTGATAGTCACAAATATGCAAGGAAACCAATTTCCCCTGGCATAATTTATATCCTAGGCAGTCTACTATGTGTTGCATAAAACACTCTTGATTTTGCTCTTTAACTTTCATATTAATTTCACTTTTACTGATATCAACAGAAAAGAAAAAGTAAGTTACAATTTGTCACTTATAACATAGATGTTCAATGCATATATTTGTTTCTACAAAACAAACCCATTGAATACAATTATCTGATCGACAAGTATGATTAAAATGTAATTTGTAAAATCTATTAAGAATGCAATAAAAAATATATTTATGACGACTGGTTCCCAGGTATTGTAAATATAAATTAAAAAAAATTTATTTCTAACTAAAGTAATTTTGAAAATAAAGAGACATAATTGATTGAAATTGATTATGAAAGTTAGTTACATAAATAAAGAGTTATAAGAATATGTGGAATTTTTATTAAAGTTAGAATAACAGTAAAATTATAAGAAACAGTTGGTGAAGATAATTAATAAAGGGTTTTAAGAAATGCTGTGTTACCAACAACTTGAACAGAACAGAGAATTTGTACAGTTTAAAGAAGCTGTAGACCAGGGGTGGCCAACAAGTTGATCGCAAAGCCAATTTTGGTCGATCACTCACGATGTCTTGACTTAATGTGTTACACTTGTAACCAAATGCAACCGTAATGATATTGGACCTCCGCATCCTCCCTCAGATACGATTTTGTCAGTCATGTGCAATCTATTTGCTTACAGATGTAAAAGGGGAATAAGAAATGTAGACAAAGGGTCATAAAACCAAAAATAAGAAAGGCAAGAAGAGGGACAGAGAGAATAGGTCGGGACAGAGTAGAGAAAGGAACGGTGAAGTGGTGGTCCCTGAAAGTGACAACGTTGAGTTTCAATTTTTCTTCTGTTTAAAATGTAAGTGCCTTTTCTTCATGTTTTAAATTAAATTGTGACTTTTCTTACCTATCTAAACATAATATGTATTTCACACCTCCCCTTACCACTTAGTCTATGCCTACAACAACAAGTCGATCAAGACACATTTTTAAGATAAAAAGTAGATCTTATGTACACAAAAGTTGGCCACCCCTGCTGTAGACCATGATGGATAAATAATAAGAAATAGGAAAGATAATAAAAATTCTGATAATGATGAGGGATGAAGTATTGTTTCAATGATTTTCCAAAATTTTAATGCAAATTGCTAATTTTTTTTACAGTCAAATAAAAATAATAATAAAACGTCAATTTATATTTGGATCCTGATATTTTCAAAAAGTAAGGATTCCAGAAATGGAATTTGACTTATATTCAAAATAATATGGTATAGTGAACCCAAATAATGTGGAGGATACATTTTGCATTATAGGAAATTGTGTTATACAAACCACATGTTATGTATGAAATATGAGTGTAGCATAATGACAAAATAGCCAAAAAGTTAGAAACATATTTTATGAATACAGAAAATCTTCGATAACTCAAACTTGGATAGTTCGAAATCCTATTAGTTCAAAATACAGCTACTTCGTAATTTGAAGTGAAAATTCTGTCTGAACTGTATGATATGTGTTTGTTAACTATTTTGTTTAGATCAAAGTGCCTCCATACTATAAGAAAACAATAAACCAAGAACAACTCTAATCTGATCAATATGACTTTGCTTCTACAATAACAAATTTTTGGGTATCACTTTATATATGGACCATCCCTTCTTCTCTTATTTCATAAAGTATGGCTGGATTTCATGATTGCAAGATTGGGCTACAATAGCAGATTTAGATATTCATAGAACTCTAGGCTACTATTTTTGAGTGACTTACTACTTTTTGGGCCACCTTAAAAATAATTTGGGCTACATTTCAAAAAATTCTGCTTTACTTTTTATAAAATCTATCCGGCAGCCTGTGAAGTTCTTGATGGAAATGTGCTGTTTACTGCAGTTTATTTTTATTATTATTATTTAACAAAAATAGCATTCTGTTTAAGTAGCTGTATTGTGTTTGCTTAATAAATTACATCAGTTACATGGCATTTGGCATATTCTACAGAAATTTTGGATAATTCAAAATTCAGTCTTGAATATTTCGTCCCCTGAATTTCGAACTAATGAGGATTTCCTGTATTGACCATATAACACGTTGTAAGAAAGCATGTTATAGAAGGGTCCACTGTATTTTAAATACAATAATATTTACTCCAAAAATTTTTGGTCTGAAGCTGTTTTTTTGATTAGATTTTAAATGTCTTACTTTGAACAACAAATTATGCCACATAAATGGCTATATAAATTTTATCTATAGTGAAGTTTTTTGTCCTAAAATATATTTCTTTATATCCAATAACTACATGGTTACACTTAAAGGACAATCACATCACAGGTTGTTGGTTGACACAAATATATCTTATTTTATTCTTCTAAATTCTACAAAATGTACATTTTAGAGAATAAAATAGGATGTATTTGTGTCAACCAGTGATCTATGGTGTGATTTTCCTGTAAGTATAACCACATAGTTATTGGATATAAAGAAATTTTATCCATTTTTAATGTTAATTTTAATAAAATAACTCACCTCAGTGCAATGTTTTTCTTTAAATTCATCAAGTTCTTTCTGTACTTCTTTCAGTTGGGAAGTTGTTTCATTCACTGTTTTTTGTAATTCTCCTACAGTTGCTTTCAATTCTCGTTTATCTTCTAAGTGTCTTTGACATTTTAATTCTGCTTGATGTAAAGCATCTTCTAAAATCTCCATATCTCTTTGAATTTGAAGTTTTTCAGTTTCTAGTTGCTCAATACGATATTCCAAGTCTGATAGTTGCTTATGAGCATTGTTTTTAGTAACCTATTAAAAATGCATTCAATATAAAAAACATTTCAAATAAATTTTAAATAATGCAACTGAAAACAATTCAACAACTTAAATATAACCTATTATAAGAACTTGGATTTGGCATTAATAATTAAAAAACAGCTTATAGTAATATCAAATTTAATAATACTAAATACTTAGTTTAATCCTACAAAAGTAGAACTGATAAAGAAAATTAATCAGCCTTTACAATTAATACATCATCAAAAATGAAACTTAATTTTAACATAATACAATATACATAATACATTTTACAATACATAATATATAATTTTATAGAATGGTTATAATACAATTAAAACTGTTATTGCCTTATGCACCTCCTAAAATGCATTTCGGTCCCTGGTGTTAATGGCCCTCATCAGTTTGGTAATCATATTGGTTAAATGTAAGGAATGTAAGGCAAAAAATAAATTTTACAATATTACAAGACTCACAGGCAAACTAATTAATATATTTAAAATAATAAAATGATAAAACTATTAACCAATAAAATATTTACATTATATGCTTAGCTGTAAAACAGCTTTGCAATTACATGGTGAACATTTTAACAATATATTATACAACATAGCAATTATCTAGAAACATGCTGTTTCCCTAAAATTTCTGTAATAAAACTTTATGGCATTATTTCTAATGATTTGCTGTTAACATGGTCACATGGACTTGACAATGATAGTTAAATGCTATTAAAAATGTTATTTTGGTAAATATGTTTTTTACTGGATTTGGATTTAATTTGACATCATTCATAATTTTATCCAGTTTTTGTGGTCATGGTATTATAATTTATTTAAAAACAATTATATATTTCACAAAATTTCTGTAAAGATATTGTAATGAATTTTATTTCTATAATTTCATATATTAGAACTTTTTTTTATAAATTAAAATTATATATATATATAAATTTGATAATTACAAATACCAATGTCTAAAACAGAATTCAGAAGTCTGGTAAACAATTCCAGATTAGAGCAATTTGATATTTATTGGAAAATTTAATAGTTATGAAAAAATTGTAATTACTGCACAGTGTAGCAATAATGCATTGAGTGCAGTATTTATTTTAAAGCAAAGAAGTAATTATACTTCTTTGCTTTAAAAATGGCATTGAAAATTTCAATGACATTTTGCTGTTTTGTTTTTTAAATTATCTAACAAGAGGAGGTCATGATTGTCATTGGTCCTCACAGACTTCAATAATACTGTTTGTGTGGATAAGCCTTAGTATAAACCTTTATTGAGCAATAGGAAAAAGTGTACTTCTCAAACATTTTCAAGAAAATCAGTTAAAAAATTTTGGAGTGAGTTTACAATTCAAAAATTTCAATGATGATATCCTGGCTCAGTGGTAGCATGACTGAGTTTTTTCAAATCAATATAGTTTTTTTTATACATAAAATAATTGTAAATTACATGAGTAACTCATTTTGTCTATTTATTTTCTATTAAAAATGTGCAGTTTCTCCTCCTTAAAGATTCATTTTTAGAACTGTTTTAAAACCAAACTAAATTTATTTTAAATAGAAATAATTATTTTATGGTTATGATTTTATTAATTATTCTTATGTACAACTTTAATTTATTTTTAATGTCTGCTTGTTTTATCAGTGTGAAAAGGATATATGTCTACATTATAAACAATAATAAACCAGAGAAGTGACATTGAAAGATGATTGTTTATTGTCTTATACAGTGCTGCGCCTGCTTCTGGTGGAACTACCTTGATGGCAGCTTCATTTTACCCTAGATTACCCTAAATTGAAAATAACTCTTCAAGCTCAACCATCATCAAACTCATGCTCAGATAAAAAAATAAGACGAACGATTCTATGACACAGATCCCTGTACTATTATCATAAAATGTTAATCAGAATAATTCTTAATTTATTGTTTTAAAAAATCTTAATAACTAAAATGTCTTAGGATTTTTAGGCTTTATCAGAGGTTTACATCTGATAAAGGCTAAATTTGAATTTGAAATTCCAATTTAGGTACATTAAATTTGAATTTACATCTGATATGGAGATAATTGATGTTTTAGTTTAGTAATACCAATGAGAAAAATTTGCCTGGTTTTCAAATAATCATAAAATATATCCATAAGTCTAATGAACATAATTATTTAAATTTTATTTTAATTAATTCACTTTCGACATGTGTATCTTAGCTGAATATAGAAAATTAAATAAGCTATTCAGGTTATTCAGTTGATTTCAAACATACTTTAATATGTAGCTGATCAGTTTTAAAAATTAATCAATTTATATATATATATATATATATATATGTGTTTTAACATTCGCTTTGAAGGTTCAAATGAAACCACCAATCTGCTTTATTTCTTTCGCTTCTGTTATCCTATCCTAAAACCCTCCATTTATAAGGGAAAACAAAATGGTTTTAAACTAAAACTTTTTCCGGCAAAACTTGTAGCACAATGGGTAACAGCATCAAATCAAAGGGCAGTTTTACCCTAGATTTAACCTAAATAAGATTACCCTAAACATTACCCTGAGAGGTTGAAATGACCCTAGAAATGGCAGCACTGGCTATGTATAACAATTCAAATGTTCAAATGTGATATTAATAGTTAGTTATAACTAATAATTTTTGAATTTATTTAATTGCTAAAAAGTCAAATTATTCATAATATTCTTATATTACCTAATGTAAAAAAATTTAACTTTATTTTTAACCAAAAACAAATTTACAAATAAGAAAAAATATACATTTTTATAGAAAGTAAAAAGACAAAATATATAAATCCAAGTAATTTACAATTTTTAGAATAAAAGCATGTTGATTTAAAAAAATATCTATTTGTTGAAATGCAAACTAGCAATCTTGCAAATAACTAACTTATGAGTAAGGAAAACAGCTGCTGAGCCATACAGTCTTCAGCAAATGGTTCCATAAAACCTATGAATAAGTCACTCAGGATATTTTTTTTTTAAAAACACTCAAAAAGTAAACTTTCTCCCCTTGCTCAATAAATATTCATATCAAGGTTTATCCACACAAACATTATTATTGAATTGCAAGGACCACATTATGACCTCCCCCTTGTAAGTCTCCCTTAAAAATTAAATAAATTTTTTTCAAAATTTTAAAATATTGTACTGATCAAATTGTTGATTTTAATTAATAAAATGTATGTTTTATTAAGGGATAAAAGTTTCCTATTTCTATTCTATAATTAATTTTATAAAACTTTTTTTGCAGTCAGTAAAATTTATTTGATAACTGTACTACAGCACAGAAACACGCTTACAAATTCTGAAACTTAATGTTTCATTTATTTTTTTAAAGTATTTGCATGTCATTCATATAAATCAATCATTCCATCATTAACAAGAATACAGATTTATATAAACCTAAAAATTTTCTTCTGCATATGTCTCAAACACAATACAAATTGATAACAGCTAGAAAAGACCATTACTAAACATTGGTGACAAACAATCTACTAGTAGTTTGTTGATGCTATATCCTCATTAATATATGCCAAATAAATTTTTCAATGGAAATTTCATTGCCTTTAAATTTATCTTTATGAATTTTAATAAATCCAAAAAACTAATAAAACTAGAGGTATTTTGAACACTAACCAAATATATGAAAAATTAAACTATTAATTTTAAATTTTATGTATTTAATATAAAACTTTTATTGTTATGATAAAATGTAGTTTCATTGTAAAAATTTTTGCTTTTATTTTAATGCTTGATTAGGTATTTTTATTTATCAGATTAAGTCAATAAAATTAATTTTCTCCAAGTATTAAGATTTAACACAACAAAAATAGTACAGTGAAAATCATAGATTATACTAAATGAATAATGCATTTTAAATATTACTTAACATTTAATTTTGTGAAAATATTTTATTTAAAAAAATTTTTTTAATCACATAATATAATAATAGTAAACATAATTGCTCTATTTTGTAATATGTAATGAAAATTAATGTTTAATGAAAAACTTTAAAATAAATATTAGTTGAATTCATGTATATGCAACAAGCTAAATCTTTATTTTTCTAGTTTGTTTATACTTCAATAAAGTCCACTGAATATAAATGAAAGTGAGCAATCTGACAAAATTTGTATATATGAAAAATATGAATTTAATCATACAATTAATTATAACACAATAATATTTTTGTATTATATTCCTAATTTTACAGAAATTTTTATATAACATGACTATAAAAAGAAATATAATTAATTATAATAACAATCATATTTTTATTCTGAAAATAAACTGGTATATATTTCTGTAAATAATTTTTTTCATTAATTTTATCCTTTTATATATTTTAAATAAATTACCATATTTTCTTCTTGTATCTGATTTAACTTTTCCTTTAATCTAGAAGTTTCTCTTTGACTCAGTGCTAATTGCTCTTGAAGCCGCATTGCTTTTGCCTCAATTTTTTCTTTATCTCTTCTGGCTTCACTTAATAAATTATCAAGTTCTGATGTAGCATTTGCTTCTCTCTCTCTTTGTAATTCCGATACCTTAAAGAATCAGATTATTAATTTTCAAATGATATAAAAAACAATTATGATGCAACTTTTCTAATTATTTTAATGAAAATATTTACAATAAAATTGATGAGCTTTAAAATAAAATTTAAATTATTATTATGTTGGGTTTAGTGGGTTACTCAGTTCACACCAGTGGCTGTGTACTATGCCAGACCAAAGTCAAGGCATAGCAACCAAAAACAAAAATTAAATACTGTAAGTATGTCAGTGTCTGTATTCAGGAATTTCCTAACAATGTGGCATGTATTCAATATAGGAGAGAACAACAGGTACAATAAGCACCCTATCCATCCTCCACAGATGCTTTATTTCCTGGGCGAGTTCTGTGTACTCGCTAATTTTTTCAGTGCATGTGTTTTGTACATTGTGAGTGTTTGGAATGGCTATGTCTATAATGTATGTAGTTTTATTGTGTTTGTCAATGAGTGTGATGTCTGGTCTGTTGTGGTAAATTGTTTTATCTATGATTATGGCTCTGTCGTAGTACATTTTGTGCATCTTGTTTTCCAATACTGTTTGTGGTATATACTTGTAGTATGGTTCGTGAATGTCTACCAATTTGTGTTTCTTTGCAAGCTCTTGGGTGTATTATATTTGCTACTTGATTGTGTCTATGTAAGTAATCTGTCTGTGCCAAGAGCTTGCAACCAGAAGTGATGTGTTGTATAGTTTCTGGCATGTGACATTTTCTGCATGTGTCATTTGTGAGTGATGTATCTTTGAGTATGTGTTTTCTGTAGTTTTTAGTATTTGACCTGATCCTGTATGGCAATCATGAATCCTTCTGTCTCCCCAAAGAGGCATCCCCGATCTAACCAGCTGTTTGACGCAGTTCTGTCAACAAAATCCTGGGCCAGGTCATAAGGATGCCTGTCATGGAGTGCCTTTTGAGCCCACGATTGCTTAATGGTGTCTATGTTTTTTATATGTTGTTGCTTTTTATATGATGTTGTTGTTATTATTATTATTATTATTAACAAAAATTAATTAATATTTAATCTCTTACTGTTTGAATACAGTGGTACCTCAGGATACGAAATTAATCCGTTCCGAAACTGAGATCGTATCATGAAAATGTCGTAAGGTGAATCATCTTTTCCCATACTATTACATGTAAAACCAAATAATTCGTTCCAACGCGAAAAACATACTCAAATTAAAGCCAAGTAATACATTNATTTATTTCGGTTAATGTTAACTGAAGTACATTATTCAAGAATTATCTGTATATGACAAAACATAGTTTAGTTCAATTATTTAACTTCGCTCCACAACAAAGAAATCAACTTTAGATTATTTATTTATTAAATATTATAACTGAAAACTTGCTAGACGACTTTAAATCAGGCATTGAGAAACATACAGACTCTATTCTTCACATTAATAATAAAGTAAATATCAAATATGTTATTCAAGATTCTTGCTAAATGAATTTTTAAGCAGACTGCAAGAAAACTGTTGGAGTGTCTTTTAATAAATATTAATAAAATTTAGTTAATAATTATGTTAAAAGTATACAAACCCTATATTAAATTTGTAATATTCACAAACTATTAATCAGGGTTAATAGCAATGAAATGCCATACTATTTTATATTAGTTTAACGCAAAAAATGCAAACATTTAGTAGTGAAAGGGTCACAGAGGAAGGTGACGATATTACATTTACAGAGTAGAATAAGAAATAAACTCAAATAAATGTTATATGAAAGATTAGATATATATGTTACTGTGAATGACCAATATCTGGCGAATGTCAACATTCTCTGGTGAATGTCACCATTCACAGTCGTTTCGTGTATGTACGAAATATTTGCTAAATATTATTATTTCTCACTTACACTGGCAAATGTCGACATTCAGCTTGCACTGATGCTGAATGTTGAATAAAAATATTTTTATTACATTAAGACAAAAATTAAACTTTTTCATATGTCAAAATAGGAGAAAGCTTAAGTAGCAGCACATGTAAATAAACTGTTGAACCTAAAACAAACAGTATATGATAAGCCAGGACACAGAACTATGTCTATGCCATTTACTTGACACACGATCTCAAGATCGGCTCACTAACTTTTTCTACGAGGGCTGTTTATGTTTAAACGATCTACATAATTAATTCTAGATCTAGTCAGGATTCCTTGACACCAGTTAAGCAGCTATTTTAAATGCGGATTAACACGCGTTATCCTTAAACTCGGGATTCGGAGGAACTAAGGAAACTTGAATGAAAATGATCGTCTAATAAGAACCAAGCCATTTTATAAAACAAACCAAAATATTTAATAAATCAAATAATAAAAATACACAATGATGAATCTAACCTATATCTAAATCTAACTTAAAATATCTTATTTTTAACCTAACGCGTGAGAGAGTTTACATCGATCTATCAGAGACTATATTACCTTCCACGTATTTTTCATATCTGTTTTTGTATGAGGATCTTCTTCCTTCTTATTTCTATTTTCTTCTCCTCTATGGGAGATTCTTTTATCTTTCTCCTTAGACAATCTTGTCGTATATTTACTTCAATTAATCGGTCATAGTATGGCCTTGTCGGTCTTGTATGACGATCACTTGTATCGTATTCTTTTTGTATGGCAATACCTCTTCTTATCGGACTACCTCTTAACGTATTTCAGATTCTTCGTATGGCAAACCTTGTTTCGATGGACTGCATATGTCAGACTTCTTGCGTGGCAATACCACGTTTTGACGGACTGCCTCGAAAGGCGGGAAAACGGCCCTTTTATTTAGTCTTCCGTAACGTGTGCAAAAACTCGACTCATCCTGAGTTAGCCTGGGAAAGAAAATCAACTTCCTTTCAAAAATTCTGATGTTTCCTCTGGTTTTAGATAAAATCTTGTTGAAGTTGAAAATATTATTTTAATTCTTTTCTCCAAATTATTTTAATTAAAACGATCCTTTCCAGAACCTTCAGATCTCACAAGTACATTCTAAATCATTAAAGAAAATAATACAATAATAAACTTACACATAAATTATGTGATTAACTTTATACAATCTTATTTATTGCAACAACTTAAATTATTATGGCACTTTGAATTGCACAAGAATCCCTTGCTTTTACAATTGCATTTATTCGTGGGACACTTTTTTTGCAATGACAGCATGTATAGCCTTGCTCTCCACTTTTCGAATTAGCTGCAGCTGCTTCTCTCAGCAATATTTCTTGAGAAGAAATATCATCTATGGAAAGTAAAATAACTTTTCTTTACAAATTACGAACTGATTACGGGAATAAAGCTTCTTGAGGGTATCATTTTTGTTTGCTAATTTATAAAAGTCGAAGTCTTCTATTCTAACAACTGTCAACACATTTCAGGCATCTGTACAGCCACGGTCGACATCAGGAACTTGTATTCGTACGGTATCAAATTTGAGCAGAAGGAAATTTTCTTTTTGAGGTTCGTAACATTTTCGTTGCTCACAGTAGAAGATTCTCTTTCACGGCCGCTCTTTTTATAGAAATAACTTTGTGTTGTTCAGTAATGGCTTGATATGAAGACGTGGTGGGTTGCAGCTCCTCTTCAATATTTTCCTTTTGAATATGGTATTCGTTATGGCCACTGCTCAAATTTTCTTCAAAAGTATTAACAATTTCTTCGACCTCCACCAAAGCTTATCTGTGCTTGTTGACATACACCGGCTATTGTTCGAATGTATAATAATATAACCAAATATTCGGTCTTTCACCGATGTATTTTTTGTATGTTGACATTCACCGGAGAATATCGACATTCTCTAATTTCGGTCTTTCACAGTAACATATATACTACTTTAACAATAAAATATAATATAAAAATAATGATAGAATAAATATAAAGAAAATAATCAAAATGCTTCTGGACTCGCACATGAAAAATGTGAATTTTTAAATGTAAAATAAGTTTGTTTTTCTTTTTTAAACACTGACAGTTTAAATTGTGTTGAGAATAATTGCCAAAATCTTCGATTTGTTAAATGTGGATGATATCAACAAGTTCTTTATTTTGTTTTGTTGAAAAATATCACACAAATAGTTGTTCATCTAGTAAAATGTATTTACTTATTACATTTTGATTATTTTCTTTATATTTATTCTATCATTACTTTTATATTATATTTTATTGTTAAATAGTATATATATATATATATATATATATACATAATGTAATCTTTCATATAACATTTATTTGAGTTTATTTCTTATTCTACTCTGTAAATCTAATATTGTCATCTTCCTCTGTAACCTTTTCATCACTACTAAAAATTTGCATATTTACACTAAACTAATATAATTGCTATTAACCCTGATTAATAGTTTTAGTGAATACTACAAATTTAATACAGAGTTTGTATAGTTTTAACATAATTATTAACTAAATTTTAATATTTATTAAAAGACACTCCAACAGTTCCCTTGTAAGTTCACCATTTAAAAGTTTGAATTAGATATAATTAAATAAGTAATTAATTGTTACTATTTTGAACTTAATTGTTTCCTTAGTAAGTTTAATTGTTCCTGAAAATCAATATTCTAAAAAGTTTTATAGGGTGGGTAGGTAGTACCTGAAATAAGTTTATTGAATCAAAGGCAGTGTGCAGAAACTGTTTTGGAACCATTTATTTAAATGATTTATTTAAAAAAATTAAGAAAGAAAGAACCATAGCAATTAATAATTTTTTGTTAAAAATCAAGGCAGGTATAAAAATGAATGAACATTTATTTTAGAGAAAAACAGAAAATAAATTATTTTCCTATTTATTTATGTACATTGTTAAAACAAACTAATTCTTGTTGAAAGTGGTAATTCTTGATTTTTTTTTCACTTGCATTTGTTGTTCTCTCTTTTAGAAGTTTTTTGTAGTAACATCTAAATCTTTATCTTGTTAACTTTGCTAGATCTACATGTTTGTCAAGTTTGTTAAAATTTTGATGATAATCTTCTAAGCATGACTTGTCTT